TAAGCACAATAAACCAATACTACACGTTGAGCCTCACACTCACATTACTCATACATAAATTTGATCAAGTTTGAATTTTTTTTTTTTTTTTTTATAATAATTTTTTATTGCCACCCATGGCGCTTATGTAGTTTTCATATACTGCTACCAGTCGCAAACCAATGGACGTACATCGCTAACCTATCAACCCCAATTACTGGGAATTAAATATTGCTACCATTCAAAACAAGATAATTTAATGTACTTTGGTGTTTAATATTTTGGTCATATAACACTTCAAGGCTTATAGGGTTTGAAATATCAACACTCAAAAATCACTATAATAATATAATCAAATTCGAGTTGTAAATTGATTTGATAAATCAAAACCGGTTTAATTTTATAGTTTCATCAACAGGTTGAATCGATTGATCTGATTTGAAATTGAAAAACTAATCTCATATTACAATGAGAGAAAAAAATACTGGATATAAGTGAATGGATATGTTTGGTCATAATTGTTATTTAATTTTGTGGTAATTCATTTCGAAAATTCTACTATTTAATAATTGGCTTTTAATTTAGTTTTATATTCAATTTTATAAAAATTTTTTAGAATTTGAAAATCTTCATTTTTTTTTTTTTCAAATATAAAATATAAATTTTCAATATGAATTGCGAAAGACCTTTAAAACTTGAAGTCTACAATTTTAAACGAATTCAATTTATTACACAACAAACAATCGAACGTGTTTTCTTAAGTAATATTTGAACTTTATTAGGGGGTTTAAATTCCAAACTCATTCTAAGATATCTCGGAGTACACTTAGTTAAAACTCATTGGTTTAATATGTATGTAACCATTTAAAAGAATATGCACAATTTATTTATATCACATCGGGACACAATGTTGTAAACATTTTTTTTTAATAGTTTATTTGAAAACAATAAATTTTAACTTGTTAATATGGTACCAAGTTACATAATTTTCCCTTTCTTCTTTCTAATATTAATATCGTCAAAACTTTTATGCATATAAACATTTATGAGAATTTAATTATCATATGTTACATTTAATTTAATAATGAATGATAAATAATAAAATTTTTAATTTAGTATAATTTTTTGTAATTGGCGTCTACTAATATGATGATACCTTATACTTTTTTTTTTAATGAATTTATTGACATGTTATTGGATTGAAGTAATTTGTGCTACATAAGAGGATTAACCCTTCCGTTAGCTTATCAAATTGGTGAAATTAAACGTAAACAAAAATCGATCGAACCTAAAGACTTCTTACATTTATTATAGAAAAACTAATTAGATCACACTTAAATTATTTAGTAGCTATATTTAATATAACAGAGTTATTAAAATTTCAATTGGTAAGGATATTGGTATTTGGTGGGACTGAAACTTTCAGGCCATTACATAGAATGGGCAATTGTCAAATTACTTAATCACCTGGACGTTCTGGCAAGAAGGCAAAAGAACACGAGTTGGACAACAAAAAGATCGATGATAAAGAAAGCTTGATGGATGAAACCTGTCGTTTGCTCATTACCATATCTTCCAAAGTATTATAAACAGCAAACTCTAAGATTGCATCCACCACTCCACTCCTGCTCCACATTTGTCCACCTAAGATGTTAATGTTGGAGGGTACAGTGTTGAACCCAATACACATGCTGGCTTGTTAATGCCTTGGCTTTTACATAGGAAACCCTAAGTTATGGATGACGCAGCTAAATTTGAGCCTGAGAGATTTGAAAGAGTGGAACTAATCAAGTATTGAAAGCCAACTCAAGTTGTTGCCTTTTGGGTTTAGGAAGGAGGTCAATGTCCTGGATTTGGGTTTAGCCAACGGTTTGTAGGGTTTTGGTTTAGGGTCTTTGATTCAGTGCCTTTTGAATGGAGAAGGTTTAAGTCATCAGGAAATTGAATATGTCTGAAGGGATTGGACTCACCATGTCCAAAGCTCAGCCATTAGTGGCCCATGTGCAAGGCACGTGATATCATGACGAAAGCCCTATCTTCTTCCTTCCATGAAGCTGACTTAACTTCTTGGAATGTTGTGATATAAGCAAGTTCTGTGTGTTAATAATTGTAAATAATGAACTTTTATATTATGAATGTTAAGAATGTATGAGTTTCGGGTTCTCGCATTCTTTCTGTTCAGTTTTCTTATATCTCTTGTCCTTTCTATTTTCTCGTATTTATTCTCACTCTTTAATATGTTAATTAAAATATAATTTTTTTAGCCTTCTTTGCATGGTTTGATTAAATTCCGAAGGTTTCGCTGGGATTACTATTCTTTGTCACTTTGGTGCACTTGTCTGGCTTTAAAGAAACAGCTTGGTGTTCAACTTAGAAAGGTTGGATTGTCGAATCTGTGGCGGAACCCTAATTAAACTAAGGAGCTTCGATATCCTGAACTAATCACTCTTATTTACCATATTCTAATTAGCGATTGGGTTTTCACGAACCAATGTTAGTTAGTCACTTATGTTCGTAATAAGTTTGAACTCTTTCCTCTTTTCCCAAGATCTTTAGTATGGTTGGGAAATCTAACAGATGGGATAATTAAAGTTTAATTGTTGAAATATTCGCTTTATAATCAATAATATAAGGCTATACTTTTAAAAAAAATTTAATTTCTTGATTTACCTATTATTTTTTCGATCTAATATTAAAGTAAGAATTCATGTTTTTATAGAAAGCAACTCTTCTTTCAGTCCCGATTCCTTTCTCTTTTTTCTTTTATTTTTTTTGGCGTAAAGCTTCTTTTTTATTCATTAGCAAGATCAATAGCTTTGAACAAATAACAACTTGTCTTACTAACAGGGATGATAGTTTCCCCTTGAGACTAAAGAAGTAAAGAATAGTTTATGGATAAATTCAAATTAACAAATTTAATAGGGCTAAAAATTTGCTAAATAACTTATATATATAAGAAAAACAATTTGTGAATCCACTACTTTGTCTGGCCACTAGGCTCCATTCTTTATTTTAGTGGGGTACTTTACTTCTTCAAGGGTGGTAAAAAATTTTTCAACGGATGGCCTGCCTAAAGAAAGGTGTAGAATGCATTAATCGCTTTTTTTTTGGCATGGACTGCGAGAAAATACTGCATCTACCTTTATTGAAAAGTTTTGAGGCCCACTTGTGTTTTTTGCATATCTTTGCTTTGTTTTAAGACATAGTTTTTCTTTTTATGCGAATCTCCTTACAAGATTCCAGCCTATCTGGAAGGAGGCTAGATAAGTTTATTTTTCCAGAGTATACAGCTACAATTCCTGCAACATCTATTTCTTGAAATCTTCTTTAAGTTCAAAAAAAAATCGACTACCCATTGAGAACATCTTGAAAGAAAAGAGCAAGTTCAATTAAGGCCTCTTACCTGTTTTCTAATCGATTAAGATGCTTTGAAGTAGTCCAATATCAGTTCTTTTCAGGAGTTAATGAGCCCATACACTTTTGAGAACATAAACTTACATCAAAGATGATCGCATTGCATTTCCATTTCTGATTTCAAGATCAAACTATATGTATCTTTTTTAACTACTGACCACGGCGTCTCTAGAATAGCCTGGATTCCTGAAAATGGGGCAATTCGACAGAAAGGGAATTGCTTGGTGAAATGCATATGGCGGTGAGCTTATGGTTGTTTTGCTTCATGCCACCATCAAACGACTGCTTTTTTCTCCACAATTCCTAATTGTGGCATCTATTTCTCTCTGATGAGCCTTTCAGGGAAGTAATAAACGACATCGTTGAACTGGATCTAACGGAAAAAGGCCATGAATGTTTTTTAGCAATCTCCCCCACTGTAACTTGTTGATTTGCCCAACTTTCCTCAGCAGAAGCCAGGAGATTGCACGAGTTCTACGTCTCTGATTGCTTTATCAGAGAAGCCCAAGGAAATATGAGAAGGATTTTTAAGCATGTGAACAACATCTATTGCCTGGGAAGAGGACTTGAGAAACCTTGCTCCTGCAATTCTAAGAATTTCTTCTGTTGACAATTCCTGGCATACCGCCTTATTATTACATGGTATATCTTTTTCTTCGATCTTCAATCTTTTAAACCCCTTATTGTATTGTCTTAATAGTTCAAATGGAAATGCATTTCCTTTCTTTGACTGTTCGAGTTGTCTCCATATGTTTTCTTGATAGATTCTGTTATCAGAGCAAAGGGAATCAGGATCAGAACCTACAGATTCTTCATCAGAAACCTACAGATTCTTCCAGTCTTCAGATTTCAGAAAAAGGGACTTTTCTACTCTTTTTTTGCTGCTCCTCATGCTCAGGATAAAATAAATAAATGTAAAGATAAAACATTGGAGGAAAATTTTCCAGTAACCATAAAAAGTTACTTAAAATTTCGAAAGGAATTAAAGAAACCATTTCAGTTAACAAAGAGCAGATAAAAGCAGAGTACATCGATTTAAGTACATCGATTTAACTATAAAATTCATTTGCAAATAATAAAATTTAACTTAATTATATTAAATTCTTGAAAGAACTACCAATATAGAATAGAATAAAAAATGCAAGACCAACATGCTTCGTTTTGTATTGAAAAGCTACGACTTACCAGTTCTTATAAAATCTAATTGATTGAAATTCCATCTAGTAATTATAAATTTCTTTTCATCATTTATCGTTTAAATAATAACAAAATAACATAATTTTGGTACTTGGTATACAATCCCTGTGGATACGATACTCTTACTCATCATATATTACTTGTAGCGATTTCGTACACTTGCAAAATAAGCTGTCACAAATCCATAAAATTCAAAACACAGTCTCACTTGTACACCAAAAAGAACAAAAAGAAAAAAGAAAAACCTTAAACAATTGAAAGAATCGAAAATCTTAATTGAAAAATGAAATTTGAAGGGAACTGTTACTACGACACTCCCCCACAGTAGTATCCAAAGTGTTTCACGTTTACCAGGGACCACAAATTATATGTGGTCAAAAAAAAAAAAAAAAAAAACATGAGGCAAGGAATAAAAGAAAAAGAAAAAACTCTAAAATAGGAACAAAAAGATCATAGTGTGTATAAAATATACCAATTGATTTCAAGAACACCTTGAATCAGTTGTTCTAAGGCAAGCCGCAAAAAAACTGATATTGAGCAACTGTAGTCTTATGTACACAACCACCCTCTCTCCTCCCCTACAGATTCTAAAACAGAATTTTGAACAACCAAATTATCAAATAGTAAGATGGGCTTTGCAGAATCTCACCCACCAAAAATTCAGTGTATGAATTGTCTATCATCAGTCAGGCCACTATTAATATCTGTAGCCTGAAGATCCTGGTGGTGCAGGTGGCAATCGATTAGGAGTACGCCGGCTGCCTGAGTTTGAACCATTGCTTAAATCGCCATTCTGTGCTGAATCATTGTGATGCCGACTGCGGCCATTAGATGTAGACCTGGACGAACCATAGTCCACAGAACCATTTGCAGCTGCATCAAATGCTGTTCTCCAGTCATCACCTGATGGACCATTTGACTTGGGGCTGCTTTCTGCAATTAGGTAATCCAAAATATTTATAGAGCATTAGAATCAAAATATTTACCCAAAAAATGACACCATTAAAAAACTTCAAAGAAATCCTACATCATCAACATATTACAGGCTCTTTCCAACATACCTGCACTACCATTCGACCAATTAGAAGCAGCAGCTGCCCGGTTGTCATGAATCTGAGTTGGCGTGTTAACTTAGAGAGCAGAGAGGACTGTTTCTGGTAGCGCTCTCTCCTGCGTTTTACATTCTGATCCTCTTGAAGTAGCTCTTCAATCCTCGCCGTGCTTTGAGCACTAGCCATCAATCAAACAGAAAAGATGTAAATAAGAACAACTTTACATTTGATCCATCTGCAGAATATGCATAGGACATCTATATGAACTATAACAATGGAAGAAAAAAAGCATCACATGAAGAGAGAGACAAGGAGACTTGTAACCATAAAATGAAGCCAATAAAAAGCCATGGAACAAGTTCCCAGTACAGCAAAAATGAGTTTCAGCAGTAGATAATTCATCAAACCTGACAGAGCTATACAACTGATTTAGCATATCTTCCTTGGCCTTCTCAACTTGGCAAAGAACAACAGCCTGCTTACCAATCACATTGTGTCACCAAATGTTTTCACAAAAGCTCAATTATAAAGATAATGAAGACCAAAGTAAAGAAGTATGCTTACTTTGGGAACATTAGCAGCCAAGCTATTCAAGACTGCTTCAACATAACCACGCACTTCCTGAGACATCCATCTGAGCTCTTCCTCAGGGTCTGCAGGTCTCCGAACCATTGTATCCTGCACAAAACCGAAGACCAATTTTCATTTGAGAATTTTGCAAAGCTAACCCAACAATCTCCAAAATCTAGTGTATTTTTATTCCATAGAACATAAAAATTAACAGGTAACCCGTAAGTGCAAGTGACAACTGAAAAACGACAACTGTTAAATAATGAAGAAAAACAAAAACAGAAACCCAACAATCTTCCAGTCTTGAACACAAGACTCAAATGTTTTCACAAAAGCTCAATTATAAAGATAATGAAGACCAAAATAAAGAACTATGCTTACTTTGGGAACATTAGCAGCCAAGCTATTCAAGACTGCTTCAACATAACCACGCACTTCCTGAGACATCCATCTGAGCTCTTCCTCAGGGTCTGCAGGTCTCCGAACCATTGTATCCTGCACAAAACCGAAAACCAATTTTCATTTGAGAATTTTGCAAAGCTAACCCAACAATCTCCAAAATCTAGAGTATTTTTATTCCATGGAACATAAAAATTAACAGGTAACCCGTAAGTGCAAGTGACAACTGAAAAACGACAACTGTTAAATAATGAAAAAAAACAAAAAGACCAGACCATAAGTACTCCTACCCAACAGAGCATATAAAAAGGATACTTCAGGTAAAACCAAAATAATTGATAATAAGAAAGTAGAATGGTGGAGTAGCACTCAGTAACATACTAAAGAACCATCAGAAAGACTCTGCCGCATGGTATGACCACCTTCAGGAGATGCATTCCTTGTTTGTCCTCTTGAAACTTGAGCAATTTTTGACATCTTGTTTATCCATTCAACCTTGTCAGCCACCGTCTCAGCCTTCAAGACAACAGCACTGTGGGCTGCAAGATAAAAGGACATTAACCTGAAAGCAATAAGATTTTGAAATAGCACCAATTGAAAAATTCACCTAGCTGAAGTATGACAACCCAAATCATGTACCTTTCAGAACAGTTTTATATGCAACCTTGCTAGTTATCTTGAACACAAGACTGGAAGATTTAGAATCTGGTCCGTTGGCCTTTTTATCCTTCGAACTCTTTGAGGGAGGTGGTCCTTCCTCATCAGGAACCTCTTCAATAGTGCATTCCTGAGCATAGGAAAAAACAACTCTTAGTATGCAATGCCAATATCAAAAACAATTAAAAATCCCAAAAGTAAGCAGCATATGTAAATATGAAGTGCCATCATTGGATGGAGTCAGTTTTAGAGATTATTAGTGATGCTGCTAATAGCAAACCGTAGGCTAACATATAAAGAGTTTTGAACCAACAAACAATTTAAAGTGTGTAATGGCCACAATCTTCAGTTCTAGTAAAGATGTAAATGCTAGAGAACACCAAAATAAATAAATACACAGATAAATAGAACTTAATATACCTTCCCCCCAACAAAGGTCCCTCAATGATTTACACCACCACTTACAAAACATGCTAATTTCCCATGTTTACATTTGTTTCATTGCCATTAGCTGAGTTTCAAAACACATCAATACCTTTTCTCCTTTAATTGTGTTATTATTATTATTCTTATTATTTCATTAGTTGCTCCTTGCTCATTTGATTTTTCCTTTTTCTTTTTTCGCCAAATCCATAATTTCACCCCTCTACTTTCACAAAAAGATCTTGTGTCCCCCCCAGAATTTTAAAAATGACCTTGTGGCCCCTGAACTTCACTTTTTAACCTTGTGACCCCCCGAAACTTATATTTTTATGTACTTGTAGGCCCCTGAAGCTTATTCACTTTTCAACCTACAAGGTGTGAGATACAAAAAATAAAATCCAGAAGCACATAAGATCAAAAAGTGAAGTTTATGATGCCACAAGGTCATTTCAAAGTTCAGAGGAGGCCATAATGCCTTTTGGTGAAAGTTAGGAATAAAATGATACATTCGGCCTATTTTTTTTCATTTGTTAGCTACATAGTGCTAGGTTACTTCTTGCCCCTATCTTATTTTTTTAATTGTTCTTTATTTCATTTTATTAAAAACTTTCAAGGCTTTGCCTTTCTTGATTTTGTTTACTCTTTACCTTAATATATTCTGTCCTTTTAATATCAGAAGCAACAAAAACCTTTTATATTTTTTTAACAGAAATAGAAAAGATTGAATGATGACTTAATTAATGACATATAGTAGTAATTTTATGAAAATAAAAAAAAAAAAAAATTTCCTTTCTAACTTTTTGACTCTTTGATTATAGAAAATAGTTACTCTGAAAATATTTCTAGATTTCTCCACTGGAAAACGATTTTTGGTTACAAATGAACATATTCTCCAAATTTTCTATGTTGTACATAGAAAATCAAAATTAAAGTTCCAATGAAAACTCGTAATAACTGACAACTACTTTCAACAAACAAAGAGGCCCTTAGAGTTTAGATTGTCATATCCATCTCAACAATACAACTGCAATTGACCTTTCACAAGGTTACCACAGCAACCAATTTACACATGCTTTGATACCTGAAATTGTTATATTTTGGTTGACAACAAATCTAGCTTAAGAAAGTATAAACAACTAACCACTATTGCATATAAAACTTTTATTCCATCTCAACAATACAACTGCAATTGACCTTTCGCAAGGTTACCACAGCAACCAATTTACACATGCTTTGATACCTGAAAATTGTTATATTTTGGTTGACAACAAATCTAGCTTAAGAAAGTATAAACAACGAACCACTATTGCATATAAAACTTTTATTTCACATATTATCTCTACTCTTGATCCAAGTTAATTAAATATACTTGGAAACTCCCTACTAATAAAATAAGGGTTAACTTCAGAAAGAAGGGACGAAGCGGGTAGTTCCTCCAGAATAGGCAGTCCTACTCTCTGAAACTTTTTATGCGTCCTATAGCACTAAGGTAATAAAATCTAAAGATATTGAAAGGGATGCCTGAATATCCAAACAGCATAATTGACTGAAATCACAAAATCCAACAAGTGAGGCTTCCCATACCTCCAAAGTGATGACGCCACGAAAATGCCTCTCCTCTTGCTTTTTCGTGTAACCAAGCTGTAGAAAAAGGAATAGATAAGCCTGAATCGTAAAAAATCATATGCATGATAGATAAGATTGAAACCAAAAGTGATGTGTATATTATACAATTATGCCATGGTCTACAGGATTATGTAAATATATATTAAATTTAAATTAAATAAACATTGCAGGATGAAAGGAAAGGCTTGCTTTGAAAATCTTCAGATGTTGATACAACCATAAAAATTAAAGCTCTTTAGTCCCAAACCAAACAAACATCAAACTCTAAAAATTTTCTTGCAGTGATAAAGGACTCAAGCTACCACATATGTAGTAGCTAATTCATGTCCAGTGATAAGCTTTCCTAACAACTGTGCAAAAAGTTTATGAAACTGTTCTAGATTATAACCATTTAAATGAAAATAAGAAAATGCATAACATAACCGCATAGAAGCAGACATTTCGCATGCTTTAGAAAAAGTAAGAACATCTTCAAGAAGACATGTTACAGACCTTCCCAGTCTTTTCATTCAAAACAAACCAACGCTTGCCCCATCCATCCTTTTTTACATTTTTCTTTAGCAAAAAACCTGCAAGATGACAGAAAGTTAAAAATATTACATATCAGGTGGGACAGAAGCTGGAGAATGAGTTACATATGCTTTCATCAAGAAATATTCATAAATATATATATATATATATATATATGCACATCCAAGGTTCAAAGATATTTCTTGAATTTTAATAAAAAGACAATCCAAATTTGTAATCATACAATGTATTTTTTGCATGATAATTCATGAAGGCTTGTTTGCATGAAGATAAAATCACTTAAATTTCCTTTCCAAAATAATATCCAGATGAGTAAATTATCTCTGCTAACATTGTTCAGTTATATTCACAAATCAACTTCTTCATGGTAAGCTAACTGTTAGGCATTTGAGAGCTATGGTGGTTAAAAAACAATTTTAAACTGAAAACTTCATAAGCCCTTATGCAACAAGTCTGTAACACAAAATCCAACAGCAAGAGTGAGTGGGGAAAGAAAACAAACAAATTCCCCAGTTACAAAGAATTTTAATGAATATTTAGCTATCATTCAAGTTCTACAATGCATCAAACAAGTGAAACCATAACGTGGAGGTAAGAAAAGCATCATCTAATTCCAGAAGTCATTGACACAAACCATAACACGGAGGTACAGTTTATATATTACATTGAATGGAGAGACACTATAAAAGACCATCAAACCTGCTGTTATTTCTCCTTCAGGACCTGCAGTCTTCAAACCAGAAGCCTCTTGCACTTCTTTTTCTGCCTGATTAGATTTCTCTTTCATTGATTTCAAACTCCCCCCTGTTTGCTGACCTCCTGTTTGAGGACTAGTTGCCTGAAAAACGAAAATGTAGAACTCAAATGAGCAACCAGTCGAACAAAAATAAAACATAATAGCAACAACACATTTAGGTTGAAGCTACTATCCGCATAAATTATATAAATGAACACCTACCCTATTCAGCATAGCTTGCTCAGCATCCTGTCCTTTTTTAGAAGATCGGTTCTTAAGCTCCTCCTCTCGTCGCTGTCTTTCCATCCTAAAGTAGATTAATTTGAATAAATATCATGTATACATCTAAAAATTCTGAGGTGTAAAATATTTAACACCACAACACTAAAGTGTATCCTTGTAGATACACGTAACACAAACACTAACACACAAACAAATATTAAATATTGAGACTACAGAAATAACACAAGTCTAAAAGGTTATTCCAGCAAATTCCTGTGTCATAGGCAGTGAATATCTTGACATGTATGCAGGCATGTGCCTGTCGGTGTCACTATTGGTCCTGCCATTAGACCACAAACATTTTATGGGCAAAGTGGCAGAAATGATGACTTATTAAATGCTACTCGAACATATTTAGAATACCTCCTTTGCACCAAACGGATGAAGTGTTGGGGAGGTACAAATGCCCGCTCCATATCTACTAGTGCAACAACCATCTTTTTTGCTTCATTCTTAAACCCCTCTAGTGCAGCAGTTGCAATAGCTATGACCTTGCAAAAGATTGAAAACAAATGGGGACTTGAACTATGGAAAGTACTAGCAAAGATAAACAAGTGAAATGAGTAAATGATATCATACCTCTCTCTTGAACGAAGGATATCTTCCTAGTCCTGGTGTGCCATTTGCTGTAGCAGAAACTATCTCTACCAGGACCCGATGTACCTGTTTACAGTTAAGCATGAACTCTATCAGTAGCACATTACAGAACCAGGCAGCAATTATAAACTTTAATAGGGTGAGAGGCTTGTACTCGATGTAGTCATAAAAGAAGAAAATGTGATAAGCATACATCCAATTTCAACTCAAATTAGATCAACTAAATGAAAATGTCAAAATATTTTTTGCGGAAAATTTTTTGAATCATTCATCACAACAAGGCAAAGCATATGCATAAAATTGGTAATGCCCTGATAAAAGAGGAAGGGCACATTATTTGACTGCTCGAACAATGCTTCCAGCACCAAAGACAGTATAGGGTAGCAAACAGATCTAAATAGAACTTTACATGACTCTTACAACAGTAACCATAAACATTAAAAACAAGACATTCAGTACCACATAAATTACTGAGTGAAAAAACTCTCTTTTTTTTTCTTAAGGAAAAGGTAAACTTTCATTCATGGTGATAAAAGCACATCTAAAAATAAAAATATAAGAGAATATACATCACAAAGTACCAAACAATAAAATTTGCAGGCCACAAAACCTCAATATTACAACCAAAGGACGGGGCAAAAAATTACCTCATCTACGCAAAGACGGGATGGTTCTTTAGCAAGCTCCAGAACACCCTTTATTAAGGATCTCAAACCCTTTTCTGGGGAGATTAGATATGGCTGATAACCATCTGCTTCTAATACAATCTAATAGAACATCAATAAAAGAAAAAGTTACATCATACAACTCATGGATGCAATTTAAGACAAACCACAAGTAGAGAACTGGTAAAAGGCAGCAGAATTACCCTCTTGACATTAGTGATATCAAAATGCCTGTCCAAAGGGAGCTGCTTGATCCTATTAGGAAAATTTCCCTCAAAACTAGAAACAATTTTCCAACCAGCACCCTGTAGTAAAATTTTGCAGTCAGCAGCTAATAGGTATCTAACTAATGATTGTCAGAGGAAATTAATTTAGTGCCTGAGTAGTTTTGAACTACTCCCACAAAGGTAGCAATAACAGATCTTATAAACCATAAAGCAAAACAATACACAAAGAGTTCATAGCACCACCAGACAGTGTTTTAAAACAAATAAACGATGTTAACTAAATACAGAAGAAAGAAATCACAGCCATCTTGGCAGCACTTGCTTTATAGAGAAAAAGTTAAGCATCAGGGAGGGGAAAAAGAGGAATAATGAGCCCGAAATCCAAACATCTAGTAGGAACCAACAAGAACTAAAATCTGCACATATCATAATGGCTTCCTTATTGAAAATACTGACAATGTAAGCCACATATAGGCTACTGGCTAGAGATGGGTTTGCACTAAACAAATCATAGAATCAGGATTATAATATTCTGCAGTAGAAATTTCCGAAGTTCGGGCTCAATCCTAATGATCAGACATTTACAACCTTTTAAATCAAAATGAAAATTGTTATTTTTCATTTACTTTCTACTACATCTTTAATTTAGCAAAAAAAGGTTTAAAATTGAAAGATTTAACAAAAGAACAGACCTAACAAATCCACTATTGTGGAAATATGCACAAGCAAGAGCGAACATTAGAAAATATACACTCACCTCACCAGTTGTAATGTGCAAGAGAAATTTATCCTCAAATTCACGGCAAAGTTCTAATGCAATAGCTCTTGTTCCCTCGGCACTTTCAACCATCTGCTCCCCAAGCCTTACTAATTCATCTTGAACTATCTGAGACTTCCCTTGCAACCTGCAAGAATGCAAAATTTTCAGGAAACAACTGAATACCCCTATTGATTTCTAAGGCAAAATCATAAGCTAGCCAAGAGAAAATACCAAGGGCTAGATCTCTCACCCGCTCACCCTCACCCTCACTAAGAGAGGCATGAAAGCTCCTTGAAAAGGTAAAAAGGAGAAAAAGGTCATAAACAATTACCCAGAAAGGAGGTTCGGAAGCCTAACTTTCATTCGCTTGCGAATCTGCTGCGCCAAAGCATCCACCAAAGATATTCTGCCTAGCTTGCTTTGAGGGGCACCAGTCAGTATAGATTTAAGACTTTCACTCTCCGCTTTCCATGCAGTTTCCAAAGAGCTGTCAGATCCAGATTGTGTAGAAGCTATTGAAACTGACTGACCAATTAGAGCGACCCATGGGATATCAGCAGTTTTTGATGGTCCCTGATTTAACAGTAGAGCCTGAACAGCTGCAAGAGCTTTCTGATCTGAAGCAGATTGATCTATTTTACTAATTACACCAACAGTTCTGGTACCTGCAATCAACATAAGAAGATGCCACTTATCACTCAAAAACAAAACAGAACCTAAAAAAAGAAAGTTTCATAAGTATGGAAGGATGTGTAAACAGAATAAAAGAGAAGCATCTTATATCACTTTACAGATTTGATTTTCCCATGAGTAAACCTAATACAGATCTTAGAAAATTTCATAATCAGCCCAAAAAAAAAAAAAAAAGGCTGCAAAGAGCTTATCCTGATCTGAAAGACAGGATTGATCTATTTTACTAATTACGACCAAACAGTTCTCGGTACTTCCAATCAAACATAAGAAGATGCCAACCTATTCACTCCAAAAAAAACAAAAACAGAACCTAAAAAAAGAAAGTTTCATAATATGGAGGATGTGTAAAAAAGAATAAAACAAGAGGAAGCCCATTCTTTATATTCACTTTACAGATTGATTTTCCCATGAGTAAAACCTAATACAGATCTTAGGAAAATTTTTTCATAAAATCAGCCCAAAAAAAAAAAAAAAAAGGGGGAATGTTACTAGGCGAATTTACCTTCTCCATCATCATTCCTTGGGCGCACACCCTTGGGAGGGCCCGGAGAATTTGCAATTTCAAGAAAAAAAAAAAAAAAAAGGAATGTTACTAGCGATTACCTTCTCCATCATATTCCTTGGCAACCCTGAGGGCCCGAGAATTTGCAATTTCAGTCGCTTGGGCTGCAGGAATGATAACTAGCAAAATCGCATCATTGTGCTGAGCGTAATCACTAACCTAAGCAAAGGACATTTTGAAGATTATTCCCATACAGTATTTGGAGCACTGTATTAAAGTAACATGAAATAATTAAATAAATAAAACCAGAAAAAGATTTTTTTTTTTTTTATTTAATTCCAAGTATTGATCATTCTGACGATGAAAACTAGCTCCTTGTATTAGATGGAACTGTATAAGCATAAACATACTTACCATAGACTCATCCATGATCCTTTGGTCCAAGCCAGGTAAGTCTATCAATTTCAGGGGAGGCGCTGAGAACAAATCATAGAAAACACATAAGGTGAACTAACAAAAAATTGATTGATCTAAAACTAGGTACAACAGCAACAGATTAAATGAATTCAGCTAACTGATCTCAGAGTGTTATCAATAAGAGGATTTCTAGTCCAAGGAAAGAGGATCACAATGCCCTATTATTAATCGCCAGCACCAAGGATCTCATGCTTAGGTACACTTCAATACATATTACTAGGACTCAAGTATGACTCCAGCATGAATTTTCACACTGATTTCAACTGTTACAGTTTTAAGCCAAAGTCCTGGTTCTTAGTCAGACAATAAGGCACAGAATTAGAGTAACCATGTTCTCTAGCAAATAAGAGATGCCTTAAACAAGAACTACCCTTAGGTAACCCATTCATCGAAGAGAATCTTGTATTTTTAACAATTGAATCTCAATAGCTCCAAGAAGCAGCAGTATTAGCATAATTGCCATTGCACGAGATAACTTCAGATGATCCTTCATTTCATTTACATCCTTCAGCAAATCGATGCTTCCATGAACATTGTTTTGTACACTTCTAAAGGAAAAGAAATTCAGATGGACGTTTCATTTTCTACGTTAATAAATCTTCCGAAAGACACTAAACTAGTAAAAAAAATCGTATTCTAGAAGCATATTGCATTAATTTAGACAATAATAACAATTATAAATCATGAACCAACCTGTACTTGTCCGTAGTCTCAAATATATTTCATCCCGGCTCTTGCCTGAGGATCCTTTACTCAGCCTTTCTTGTAAAGAATGCCGTAATGCACCTGCATACCAGCAGCAACATTAAAAAAAATAATAGCACAAAAGAATGTCTAAAAGCAACTCACGCAAGAAAACACATGTCAATTTGTCAATGATTTTCTACATAAGAGCTCTACCATCACCATCAACTCCTCTGTCAAGTCTGTTTAATTTATAATCAGCTACACAAATAAATTTTATATCTATCCTTAGGCATCTTCAACAATATCTAAAGCAGCAATAGTAATTAAAGTTACTCACTAAATACATTGTATAATAAAATTTCAGGTCGGGGCCATAAACTATGCTCACTATGGAATTTTTAAAACTACAAAGAGTTGATGGTAGCACTTAGGAGGCTAAGTTGAACTGATCCTTAACCATAAACTTAAGCAACAACAAGAGAGAGAGAGAGAGAGAGAGAGAGAGAGAGGAGAGAGGAAATGCCAAAGCAGAATAAAAATATGTACAAGTAACATTAAACCAATCAACTAACTTGCAGAAACTGGCTGGGATTTATTGTCAATTTGCAAAATAATTGATTTGCTGCTCACAGAACTATCCCTCCGTAAGTCAATGCTTATAGGAGCCCGGGTAGCACCATTTTCACCAGTTGGCTGGACAGGGAAAACATAAATTCAGGAATAAAAATAGAGAATCATCTATTGGGTCTGATGGAAAAGGGAAGTAGCATCCAAAGAATAATACAGAACTTTCACAAATTAACTTACCAGAACAGGATGTCCGATTAAGCTGTTTAAAACTGCAGATTTACCAGCACCCTAACCAATATGACCACAAACAGAAAAAGAGAGGGAACAAGGATCACAAAACAGTAAAAACATTTACAGAAAATAGTAAGAACAAAGAGGGCCAGAGTGTACGGTTGACAGTAAGCCTCATTCTCAACTGCCACTCGTGCCACAACCATGAATCAGTTCCAAAAGAGAAATCAGTAAACCAGACAGCTAAGAGGAACTTGTATAATACAAGAAATGGTACTAAATATATATTATCATAAATGGTTCCTTAATGCACATACATAGACAGAGTGGCATGTAAAATTCCCTCCTTACAAAGTGATGATAAAAATAGTTTCATCTAAATACTATCCGCAATACAAGTAATCACATTTAAACTGATAGATTCAATTCCTGATGACTAACAGAAGCCTTCACTAGACACAAAATAGAGGAAAATATTCCTTGTAGCCAATTCCAACAAAATTGGGATTAATTTTTAGTTAAGTTACCGACCACTAATTATATTCAATTGATTTGAACCATTTTTACATCATTTATTAGAAGGATCTTTACTATAAGCTAATCAACTGTCACTTAAAGATAAAAACCAAAAACTTCAAAAAAAAAAACATTAACAGATACAAAGATCCATTCACTTCAAACATAAAAATTAAAAACTTAAACCCAGTACAAACTCTTGCAGACCTAAATCCAACTTCAATCCACTGAATTGAATCCAATCAGTAGAAACAGACACACGCATAGCTAAGATAGATAACTCACAACATTGCCAAGCGCAACAACATTTAGAAAAGTAGAATTCCGTTTAGAAGAGGAGCTTTGATTTTCGTCAACATCTTCATCAGCAAGCAAAGCCGCCGCTTGTCTCATGGACTCAGATAGCTGCTCCAACTCCTCGATCGCCTCCATTTCACTTCCAACAAACTAAACGTCAAAGATCCGGAGAACCAAACGAACTAAAAGAGCCTAAACAGATCGAAATAATTTGAAAGACCCTAGAATTTGACGAGATCTGATGGCGTGGAGAGAGATCGAATATTCAAATTTCAACGATTTGAAAACAGAGGGGGAGAGGAAAGGAAAGGAAAGAGCGTGGACGGTATTTCTAGAACCAAATGTTTGTTTTTTGAACAAAAGGAAATATACAGGAAGAAGAAGAAACCTCTCTCTCTCTCTCTCTCTCTCTCTCTCTCTCTCCCACTTTCTTTCTCTCTCTCTTTCGCTTGCGTTTTGAATTTGCGTTTTTGAATTCTTTTCCAATAGTTTTCAATCTTCTTTTAACGCTTCTTTCTTTTTTGAAAAATAAAAAAAAAATAAATATTTTAGCCGACTGTTGTTTTTTCTCTTAAACCTTACACTTTTGTTTCCCCTGCAACTAATTAATAAGTAATTAATTTATGTTGTTTTACTGCCTGCAGTTACTATTTTTTTTATCTGCAATTTTTTATCTGCAACTGTGTTGTACTTATAAGCCAATAATTAATCCATTCTCTTCAGTTTGGATTTACTGTTCATTGCATAACATATTTCTATAGTAAAAACTAATATAAAATTCATTGCAGCAGATGAATACGGTAAAATTAGGAAAAATACTCAATTTGCGAAGAGCGTTCGTTCTACTTTTGTTCTCAAACTCAAAATATTTTCTTTCTGTCGGTATTGTTATCTTCAATTACATGATTTGAGCCTCCAATGTTGTGTTTGTTTTCTTTCTCTTTTTAGTTTAGTAGTTGCATTGTCACGTTCTCTATCCGAAGTTTTTAGGTGGTTTTGAATCTTTGGGTTTTTGGATTTGATTTTATTTTCTACTTTCCTCTATCTAGGTTTTGTTTATTAGATATAAATCTGATTAGAGCTTTTTTTATTTGTTTTTTTTTTTTCTTTTCTTTACTTCATCTTTTTGCTTATTCTTGCATCAGTTTCTTTGATTTGTAAATCTAATTAACTTCTGCTCCCTTAATCTTTCGTTTCAATAGCTATTAAAGATTTTAAATTGACAGAACAGCAAATAGGCAAAAGTAAGGTAAGCAACATAAACGGTGATGGAAATGGTAAGGGTATTTTAGGAGATTCACTTGCTCTGATCTATTTAAAGATAATATAAGTAATTATAAATGAGTTTGGTAGTGAGTAATCTATCTATTATTAGTAAAAAAATATATTTTAAATAAGTTCAAATTTTGATAGTTTAAAATTTATTTAAATGAACTTAAAAATTTTTTAAATACGGATAAAAGTAGTTTAAAATTTACAGGTACCTACTCTGCTCAGACAGTGAATTGTATGTTCAAATTTTGGACTTACTGTTTTAGTTAGTGGGCTTTGAGTGTTTTATTGAGACTGAGGTTGGTTGATTGGGCTCGATTTGTTTGGATTTGTTATGGGTGGATATTTTCCTTGTTTTGGATCATCAAACAAGGATAGTAGAGGCAAGGGCAGAGTCAGGATTTGAAGGATGATAAACTTTTGATATTTTCCGTAGAAATAAAAAGACTTATAGTATTAAAAAACCCTATAAACAACTAGTTAATATGAAACATCAATAATATTATTAATAATAATGAAAATGTGTAAAAAAAAAAAATTACAATTGTTCTTAGTAAGTCTTCATGCCTTGATAACGTAGTATAATAATGTCGTTGTTAATTTTGTCAAAAAGATATATTTTTTTTCAATATATGTAATTAAATAATTAATCATCCATTGATCTCTAATTCTATTATGTAATAGACGCCTCACAATTTTGATAACAGAAAATGCGCTCTCATATGTAAAACGCTAAAAAAGAGGCTCAATTACTTAACCTTGCTCATTCACATAGCGAATAACATTTGTCATTTGCTTTTTAGTTGATAAATCACATGCTTAATCCATTAGAATAGAGAAAAATGCATTACCAAGGTCTTGAATGTTCATACTAGTGGTCTCAATTTCATAAACATTGATAATATCTTTTTGAATATATGAAAATATTAATTTAAAATTTTCAGAAACATTTATCGACGGTAATTCTCCTGATATCTCCATTATATTCATTAAAAATTTTAAAGTTTCTAAACATCTTATGTATTTAATGAATCATAGGATTCATCATATCCAAGAAAAGCTAAGCCTTGTCTTAAAAGAAATCGAACACAATCAATGGAAACATTTAATGAACTCTGATGATCACCCCATTTTTTTTTCTTATTCACAATTATTATGTCTTTGCATAATGCCATAATTCATTAATCAACCCTCATTTTGTTTTAAATACATTAGTTTCTTCTTCTGTACTAGTTTTATTACACTGTTTACTCCTTTCGTTAATATTTTATAGGGTTAATTATAAATTTGGTGTCTTTTAACTTTCGAAAATTTTTTGTTTTAGTATGTCAATGTAAAACATTTATAACTGGGTGTTTCAATTTCAAAAAACATTTTCAATCAAGTGACTCCAGCTTAACTGATAAGCCGAAAATACAAATAGGATGTAGATGTTGTACCAAAAGGGAATATATCAGATCATGTGCAAAAGAAAATTAGTGATTAGTTGTGTTGGCAACCCTTCTCCGTTACATATTTTAACTCCCTTATAATAACGGATTCAGTCCTTCCGCTTCTCTCCCTTTGTTCCTTTGAAACACCACGACGCCACATCTCCACGAAGAGATGACCATCAATCTCATTGATGTGAAGCCTAGAGATCAGATCCTCGATGTTGGATGCAGTGTTGGAGGCCCCATGCTTGCTGTCGCCAGTCGGTTTCTTGAAGATCGAATCTACTATGCAGGTTTAGTTTCTTACGTTCAAAGACTACTCCCAATCGGCACAACTCTTCTTCTGCTGGTTATCTCCTTCTGTATTGCTACTCATATCATCAGGCTCTGATCCCTGCATAGTAGAAACCAAGACAACTTGATTAGCTAAAATTTGGAGAAGATCAAAAATAAAATCTAGAAATAAACTCAAGCTCACTCATTTTCTCACTTGGATCCAGCATTTTAACAAGTACACTTGAGATCTAAAAGAAACCCAGATGAGATCAGTAGGTAAGCTAAAGCGGGAATTGATTAAGAATTGTTGATTGAGTTGAAGTAATAGCAAAAGCTGAAACTCTTTGATTGCAATAAAGATGTGGCTATGGAGGGAAGATATTAAGAAAACAATCCAAAGAGATAAAGAACAAGAGAGAGATCAAGAATCAGTAAATGAAGAAGATAAAGGAATTGATTTTTTTTTTTTTTTCTGTAAAATCCTAAAAGAGAAATGGACATGCAGTAAAGAAGGAGAGTGTGTGCAGAGGTGAAAATTAGAAATCGAACCAACACAGACACACAAGCACAAGGGGATCTCAAAAACAACTCAGCATTCCACCTCAGCAAAATACACATCTTGTCACAACATTCTATGTCCTATTTGTATTTTCGGCTTGCATGGCCAGCCACAGATGAAAATTTTTTTGAGTTTAAACACTTAAGTACGTTTCCACTAAAACATTAAAATATAAAATTTTAAGAAGTTGAGACACCAAATTCATAATTAACCCATGGTTTATACTCTTTTCCGTTTATTAGTGTATAAAATGCAATTACGAGGTAAAAAAATAAATTTTTAGTTATACAATTGCTTTTCCTCTCCATTTTCCCTTTTTTTTTTTGCCATTTTTGGAGTACAATGCATCGGGGGAGAGAATGGAACGGAAAAGGAAAAAAAAAGGGGTAAAATAGTCACCGATCTCGAAAAGCCAATTTTTCTTTTATCTCTGAACTAATAGTCATTATACACTATTTTTAATCTCCTTCCAACATAAAATCATCAAAAGGTGAGGAGTTTTAGAGAGGAAAGCTTGAAATCCATGGCTGACACATAGATTTTAGAGAGAGAGAGCCCTTGAAGTCCATGACGAAATTGCCATCACTACATTCACTCTAATAAAGCTAACTGCCTGCTCCATTGTCGATCTGGATTGTAGAATTCCATGCCAGTAGCCAAACATGGATTTGGGTTTCTACATCATGTGGACTTCTTTTCCTCACATTGTCAAGATGTGATGGATTAGGTTTATTTATGTTGCACTATTTATTTGTTTGATTTTGTGTAATGGGTTAGCTTAATTTTATTATAGTGATGACCATTTTTCTATTTGTTTGATGGAAATTTTGATCTTCTATAGCTCTTATTTTATGGATTACCTTAATTTGCACCCCAGTTATTCAATGGCTCCACTTGAAAGTCCTGGCGTGTCAAGGTTTTGGCTAACAACAAAGTGAACTTGTTACTATTGCCATTTGTTACTTTTTCATGTTATAATATATAACAGGGAGTTTTAATTCTGTATTTTAATTTTCGCATATTAATTAAATAAAACTTAAAAAAATAAATAATGATTTAATATGATTTCATAGTTATTTCTTAATTTCATTGGAGGCTCAATAAGCCGCTTACTGAATTAGTGAAAACAACCGTGATCAAAAATTAAATTACCATCTGATTGATAATATAATTTCATATTGTTCCCAGGCAATAGATAATAGTTATATAAAATTATACAATTACTAAATTTTAATATACTCACTCTATCCCATTTTATTTACATGGTTTGACACAACACGCATATTAAAAATTTAATCAATAAAAATTATTTTGCCTTTTCATTAAGATATTAAAAGTCCTTCGTCTAATAAACAATTATAAATATTATTATGAAAAAAATAATTATTTACATATCTAAATTTAGAAACTTTCCAAATATTTTGAAACTTTCCAAATATTTTGAGACATCTAAAAAGGAATAACATGCGAACGGAATGAGTATATATATATTTTTTTTCTCTTCCATTGTGAAGCTCATTTCAATTTTGGTATAAGAAAATAAAAAATAGATACAAATGTTGGGTTTAAAAGGAATAGTCTTTGTCCTACAAAAGGTAAGCATAAACAACCATTCGTACCCCACTACCATAATAATTCAGTCGTACTGCTCGCATGCAATATTGCCCCTTCCTAATTTTCTCAAGAACCCTTATATATCTACATTGTTCATGCAAGTACCAAAAAGAAAGTGGCAAGTGCATTTAGAAACCCATCTCAATAAGGATTGCACATGCATAAATTATTATCCAGTACATTCATTCACAGGACCACAAGGCCTATTGTATAAACATGGCTTGTGTATTTTCTATTGCACAACATTCCGATCCCTCAAAACAAAACCAAGAACTCATCGCAGAAAACACAATCAAGTCTCCCCACCAGAAGCTACACCTTTCCTTCCAAGGGAAGAGTATCATGGTTGCTTGTCACTTGCATTGTTGAGAGAGAGAGAGAGAGAGAGAGAGAGTAATAGATAGGGTAGTGGTGTGTCATGGTGATGCATGGTCAAGCGACGGCAACTCCAGCAATGCGAGGCCGTGTTTCTGCTGCACCACTCTCTGGTATCAAGTCCAGCATGACTTTTCTTTTTGTCCCTGTCTTGGGTACAGGTGTTGATGGCCTAGCATAGCTTCTCAACTTCTGAATGTCTTTTCCTTGAAGTGGTTTCCGTAGAAAATCTTCAGCACCATTTGCAAGACACCTGTAGAGCACATAAAAACAATCAAGCACAGCATCCAGGAACCTTGCAGAACTACCATCATGAAATCTACCATCACGCAAATCCCAGGCATCATGCATTTGTATTACGTAATCTACTGTATCATCATGAAAGACGATGCAATGCAATTATCAACAGATATATGCTAGGCTGGCATCAGGAGATATCAACCTTCAAGTTGTAATCCAACATCCACAGGTCAAAGATTAAGGTTCTTTATTTTTGGATATTGTTTACCTAAAGATGTTTAGTCCAAATTGAGGATATTCAAGATTAAGTAGAGTATTTGGTTGTAACTAGGGCTTATTTTGTTTCACATAATGTTCTGACTTCGTACAAGTTTCCTTAGCGTGCTCCTCCAAGAGATCATAGTGAATTGAATTGAGAAGGATTAAAATGGACTTGATTCATCTTCTTACATTCCAGCTGCTATTCCTCTTATGTCTTCTCTTCTGGTGCCTGGTTTCTTCTTATCCTTCTTCTCACCCTTCACTAGTCTGCATTTCCCATTTGAAATTCTCCTCTTATATATCTCTTTTCTTTTCATTCTCCTTTTAGTTTCTGTTCTCCTCAAACACAATCTCTATTCTGGTTTTTCATCAATGAAACAAGTAGATGAATATCCAGTTTAGTAATTTAATAGATCTGACATTCTGCAATTAACTGCAGACAGCTGCTCAAAATTTTATCTTCGCTCATTTTAATTTATCCATGAACTTTAGTGAAATTTTCTAAGAAATGGATCCAAATTCATACAGAAGTTCCTACCTCAATAGTAGCCCTGCAAAGCTGCATCAAGTTGCTAAATTTCATTTACCATTTCCAGATAGCTAAAATGGGAGAAGACTGCAAAATCTAACTGAGCGAGGAATCTTCAGGTCTGAACTAAATTTAAGTTGGTAGATGGATCAATTCACTCTGATCACTACATTCTGGTCTATGTAAGGTCAAAAGTTTAGTAGGACATCACTGAAATTAGCATTTATGCAAAAGAAAAGAGTTTTGCACATTATTCCATTTATATCCATGCAACAATAGTAAAAAATGATCTGGCATGTTATATTCTGGCAAAAACACCCAAGATTTTGTAGATCATATCCATAAAATATGACTAACTTCAGGTAGTTATAACCATGTTGCTCTAATAGAAAAAAGTAGAGAGAGAAAAATACCTCTTGATTCTCTGTGGATCATATTCAGATGATATTATCACAATAGGAATGGATTTCACATTACTGTTCTCCTGGGAATCAAGAAAAAAGACTTGTTAAGGAAAGTTCATAAACCAGAACAGAAGAGTTATTAACATTAATTTGCCACTACACGACATCTGGATCAGTTGAAAACTTAAGCAATTGATTAAGAACATCAAACGCTTCAAATCATATATCAGAAAATTCTGATCTAGTGATTTTCACAGGTAAGATAAATTAGAAGCTAAAATTTGTGCTCGATACCCAAACAATCCATAACTTACTTTGATATACCATCATTAAGTCAATGTCCAAATTAAGAAAGAAACCAGAGTTGGGAGTAGGAAGGGGAGATGGGGTGGTGGCAGAATATATGTGACAGCCTTTTACCTTCACAGCCATGAGAAGATCATAACCATTCATCTCAGGCATACAATAGTCAGTAAGGATTATGTCAACCTTTTGGTCCTGCAAAAAGGTGAAATAATGGATGTCATAAAACAACTTAGAAGTGAACTTAAAAGTACTCTTAAGACAATTTTATATAGTTAAATGCAGTAGCTATAATTTCTCTAGAGAACACCCATAAAATGGACAATAAAATCAAAAGATAAAGAAAAAAAGTGTCTCCCTCTCCCCAAAAAAATAATTAAAAAAAAAAAAAAAAAAAAAATTCAAATTCTGGAAATAAAAAATACTCTGATTTTGCCCACGCCTTTATAACTGAATTATAACAGAAATTGTTATAGTAAAATCAGCTTCCCCTTTCGGGTGCGGTGAGTCTATCTAAACAAATCAAATTTCAAAAATAATTATGTAGTTTTGATTAATGTTTGGTAAATATAAATAATGAAACTCTTATCTGTTTATGCTACATCCTAAAAAAGGATAAAAAATTAGGAGAATACCTTCTTTCTGACGGAACTAATTTAATTTCCTTTGAAAAGCGATTTTTCTCACGACAAAAGAATAGAGTTTTGTTGGGTGACTAATGAGCGTTCTCTGCTAAACAAACGCGGAAAATTATAACACTAAAAATACGGTCGGAAAACTCTAAACTGGGGAGAGTTCGCACGGATGATATTAAGAGTTGAGAGGAACTGGATCGGAATAAATATGAGGGTATTTTTCCCCTCTAGTTTGTCCAAGTTGTGAAGACTCATCATTCTCTTCAAATTTTTGGGTAAAATAAACCCGGTAAGACACAAAAGATCAAATAGAGAGGAATTGAGAAGATTCCTATGTTTCATTGGCGATAATTTAGAAAAAAAGAAATAGCGAAAAATTAATGCTCTTGGTTATTTGGGTTCTCTACTTCTAATTGATAATATATTGGGATAAATGGATGAATCGCGCAAATTCTAACCACACCGCAAAATGGACGCTTCGTACCATGATTGGGAATTGTTTGGATCGTCTTTCTCCGAGGAAGGCCCGCGCCCGGCAAAATAACACTAATTATCAAATCAATTTGATCAGAGTTCGGGACTTCGGGGATGCTCTGTGGCTATTTCCTCGATAAGAATCAACTTAGTTAGTAAGACGCCACTGGATTTTGCCCGTTTTACCTCCTTACAATTTGTTTTCTCCAGACACTTTCTTTTTATAACAGATCTACAAATTGGGGTTTCAATGAAAAATACCAATTAAGTGGAGGAGTTTCTTCAAACAACAAGGACGCTGGCGGAATCTAAACCTACATACAGGTATATATAGCATATATGAGGGGTCCAATTAGAGCGGCACCATTTTTAGAAACCGCCATTCCTCAAAAATTATGCGCATTGGGCCAACTAATGCTCCATTCTTACAAAAGTATAAAATGTAAAAGTACAGTGGGCCTGAAGGTTACTATTTCCTTATTGCAAATTTGGTGCTCCAAAAGGAATTTCCAAACTAATAGGTGCCGGCACTTAATCTCGTCCAGTTTAAGATCTTACATTCGTTATACAGTTGGGGGTAGGAGTCATTATTGTGGTAATTTCCTTAACCCTACTGGGCGGCCAAGAATCGGATTTCATTAATGCAAGTGAATCCCGCGCGCAATCTACCTTCGAGCAAAGAACAGGATTTGGAAACAACTTATAAGGTTAAAGACACACTACCTCAGTGTGGCGGGTCTAGAGAAAATGCAAACACAAATCCAAAGGTCATCTCCCGCGTATCTCTTTAGAAGCAGCTCACCAAGGCACGTACGTTCTTTTTCCGGAAATACTAAAGGGATGCGGTACAGTATCCATTAGGGGTTGTGGCATTTTCAGGATCATCATGTATTCCACCAAGTATGGCATCATTTAGTTTGAGAGAGGGAGAGAGATTGTAATCGATATCAGAAGAAGCGAAGAAGGAGGATAAAATTTACGTAATAGCGCGAATTGTAAAGTGGTGTGGGCAATTGGCGTGGAATTGCCTATGGGTCAATTACAATGCAGGGCACACGAGGAGGGTCCCAACAGTTTCCTCAAAGTCACATTGCGCGAAATGTCCGCGCGCGCTGATTTTTACGTGTAACTGTGAGGCCGAATATCCCACCTCGCTGAATACTGGTAAATCATCAGAAAAAGATCTATCCTGCAAGCATGTCAACTTTTTCCAATTTTTATGTGTATGTAAGATTCAACCTACAACTAGATCACTTTGAGGTGATTATAAGAATGCACGAAATATCGTGTTGTTTGGAGAGCTCCCATGCAATAGCTTTCTTCCCTATATTCTCTGAAATTAACAAAACTGGAGATCATTCTTGAAAACCCCCTTTAGGAAATAAGTGGTTATACGCGAGATGCGGAGATACCCGATTAACAAACTTCTTCATGCCAAAATGTCCTTATCATTCTGTGACCTAATAAGAAGCCACCCCTTGCAAATAACGTAGTCGCCCGACAATATCATAAAAAAATCAACATCACCAAGCCCAGGAACAAAGAGCGTGATACGACAAGGAGATGGAATAAAACTCCTTCAGTCCGGAACTTAGCCCTTCACTCGGAAAAGATAGAAATTTTCCTGAACCACAATCAAAATCTCTGGGGACAATACCTACCAACGCAATCCATGGCCAAATGCATGCTCAGTTTGTTATTTCAAGTTCGTTTATTTCATTCCTTGAAACTCGAGATTTTACGTCATACAATGAAAAAGACCTTCTGTACGATCCTAAAGGTGCTCTAACGATATTTCCAATACTGAGCAAAGGAGATAGTTTCGCAAGCTTAGCAGGAGATCTGTCTGTGAACGAAATACAGAGAGAATGGAGTTTTTTCTAAAACCTTTTTTGCGATAACGTCTTTCATATCAACAATCCACTCCAAGAGGGGCGAATCATACGGAGAAAATTAAAATAAAGTAAATTATTTAAGTTTTTTGAGAATAATTTGGGATTTATAAAACCCTTTAACCAAAGGAATAAATGTTTTCAACGGGTTATTCCAATATACAAGAGGAAAGTGAATACCTTCAGAGTCTCGAAAATAATTTAACACAGGGTTTAGAGTAATTCCTATTGTGTCATGTTCAAGAGAAACTCAACGGGAAAGTGGTCCGATAATGTTTGATTTTGTTCTGATACGGAAAGCAAAATCACTAAGGATGTTATTGGACTGGAACCACTTGTTCGTTCAACAAAGTTAATGTACCTTTTTTTAACGTTCTCGTTGCAACCCACCTTACACAAGAGATAATTCAATCCATGGATGGATATTTTTTTGGGTAGAATGTATGAAAGGAATTTTAAAATATAACATTGGACATACTTTTTCGAAATCAATTCCATGCTTACCTCCTGGGCCATATCCCAAAACGGGGGCGTGGCTGATATACACCTCGCTCTTTAAATGGTCTCTCTCCTTACTGGGTGCCTGGTTTCTTCTCTAATCCTTCCTTACTACCGATAAACCTTCCTTTCACTAGGTACACTCACTAGTATAGAGAGTTCCTTTCACAAGATATAATGGCTGAAGATCTATTCTCTACCCTCTTCTAAATCAATTAAATAACGTCTCGCAGCTCCGTGTACCCATGCTGGTTGTTATTCATCCAAAAATTAGCGGCTCATTTTTTATCCATGTTTTTCTTGTTTTCCTATTGATTATTCTCAAACCACAAGATTCTAAAATTTTGCGGTATTTTCATAAATACCAAATATAACCTATAATATTGAACAAAGATTGGAATATAAATCAATGTCACGAGATGCAATCCTAGATGCGCAAGTTGTATAAAAGATCTAAATGATAATAATGAAGGAAATTCCTTTTGAGAACATTTTGGTTCTAGCTCCCTGCAATTAACTGCACAGGGAACAGGCTTGCTCAATCCTAATTATTTTTTAATGAAGAGAATTATCTTATCTGGCTCAATAGATATTAATCTTCTTAATTTTCCGCTATTGGAAATCGTAATGTAAAAGTGGAAAAAGTACTTAGTTATATTACCTAAAGGAAATGAGTGGTCGCAACTCCGAGAGATCTCCGCCATACCAGGGAGCGGTGTTAAACCTAAGACTCCTTCCTGGGTAACAAAAGTAAAGATAATCCCACCATGACAACAAAAAGACTATGAGCCTAGTCAAGGTATTTTGGGTCTGTAAAGTTCAATTCCAATTATCCAATCACATCGAAGTTGCAAAGTCTATTACCCAGGATAGCTAATTCAATAGTCGGAGAGATTAGAGACTCCTTAAGCCAAGAAGAAATTTCCAATATAACACAAATCATAGCTGAAGATGGACCATTCCTTTTTCAAGTGTACTGTGAGTCTAAAAATATATAAGATAAAAGATTGTGAGTGTGAAAGACATTCAAGGATAATCTTTTTATCTACCTAAGACATGGAAGAATACTCCGACTAAATACTTCTTGGTCTAGCGATAAGGGTCAAAAAGTTTAGCTAAAAGGTATCGAATATCTGGAAAATTTCCCAGAGAAAAAATAGGGGCATTTCTAAATTCAGGCGAAAAAAATGAATAAAAAGACGTTTTTCTTGCAAACCAATTCTAAATTATGAACCATTTTATAATAGAATACACATTATACCGAACTACACCAAATAGTAAAACCATAGCACTATCCTTGGCATTGTTATATAACTGAATGTGTGGACAGATAAAGTCACCGACAAAGAAGAACTTTGGTTTGCGGGAAAGATCCATATCATCCCACATTCACAACTTAATTTATTGTACTTTAACTTTCATGGTTAGTCTCGAACCGAGAGATTGTCTACAATGAAATAATCCCAGGGCATCGTTTGGGCTCTACCCTATGCATATATAGGAAAATACTAGTAGAGGGCTAACGAGATAAGAGACCGAGCTACCTTAGAGTACCATTCTGTTGGGATCACTCAAAAAGGAATATTTTTCTTGAGGACATTTCAAATTTCTGAGCAGATGAAGTAAGTGTATACCCACAAGTTAGGTGTAATTCGGCAATTTTTTCTACAAGCTAATTTAGCTGGTTTCTTCTCGATCGACTTGGATATACGCATAAAAATAAATAAAGAAACTTTGGCGATATTAATGGTCGAATTGATTGGTCCCCGGACAACAACGTTCTCATACCTAGACCGAGAGGGAAACAGGAAATTATCGGAGATACATTATTAGACATTAATTTGGGCCAACTAACAAAAAGAGACTATTTTCTGGTGAGATTCGCCAGTTTAGAAAAAGCGTAATGACAAATTTTGTACCTGAAAGAACATTCCTAATACTTTACTATAAGCATTACTACCATACAGGGTTAAAAACTTTCTTTAGTTATTTTTTTGATTTTGGTTTCCGACAAAGGGGTTTATAGTGATATATCTAGTTCAGACTATGTTCGAAAATTCTTTGTGCCTTCAGAGACTCTAAACATGTCCTTCTTTCTCTTTTGTGAGTTTCGGGAATATCCCCATTACCCCAAAATCCAAAGGTTCCCCGAAAAATTCACACATACTTCTTTGAGGATAATACTCGAATATCTGAAAAATAGGGAAGTTCCCCAGAGAGAGGGTCCAAATGAATGTCCTACAAGAAACTAGAACATCCCGCAGAAGTTTGCAGGAAAGGTTAGGAAGCGTGGTGGATAGTAAAATGCGCGGGAGTTGGATGGCAGAGGATTACTTATGTGTAACCAAATGCGCTCCTATTCTATTTACTTCCTACTGAGAACACAAAATTTGGAAGAGAGGATACAAAATACACCCGCACTCTTTTCAATTCTTATTGGATGATCCTACCTAGGGACTAATCTTCACAAACAAATTCAGTGAAAAATTTTTGAGGATATTTTTCCAAAAAAATGGAGTGAGCCAACAACCCTTTTATGGTTCCCTCCACCATGGTCATAGTTGTTCACAAATCAAAATGGAATAGTTCATATACCACAAAACCTGTTGTGATAGATGATGTGTATCTCTGAAACAATCTAAACTTCTTATCACGGCAAATACCAACTTTAGATATATATAAAGTTTATCAAGATGCCAAGGATAAATAGCTTCTATAAAAAATTTGATTCACGAACGGAGTATGGGAACCTAACTCCCTAATAAAATGTGGGAACTGCAATCAAAAAATGAATATATCCCACAACACGATGCAATTAAAAAGGAAAAAAAAAGGGTTAGGTACCTCCCCCAATTCCTTGCGCCCTCCGAAATCCAAGAAATAATTTGTAAAAAACACCAATTTTAAAATCAAAATAAAAAGATGGTGCAGGAATAAGGAGGTAAGAGAATCGATTCAAATTCCTCTCTCATAAAACAATTAAGACCTTCAGGGAACCTCCATTGCAGATTCTGTGAATACCAATTTCCTATCAAGTGCATCAAAACTTTTAAACAATCATGGGAACTATTCAAATTATTGTCCAATCATATACAAAAACAAAAAAAGTACTTTAGTCTCTCTCTCTTTTTTATCGAAGAGAGTTAACTTTACCACCAGGCCCGCAATAATTTCTAAGATAATGTATGATATTTATCGTATGGACAATCCTTCTTCCAGACCTTAACACATATAATCTTTGGTAATTCACTACCAAATTTTGAATGCCAACCAAAGGAAAATAGCCAGTTTTCTTAAAACCTTAATTCTGCCCTCAAGAAGCAAAATCCACTTATAAATTTGTAAATCAGCTCTATGTAATGCCAGTGTAAGAGACCTAAAGGAAGGGAAAAAAATTACCATGCACACGTTATTTGGGAGAAGAGAGCTAATAAATTTGCTATTATCCAATCACATCCAAAGATTACGAGTCAGTATGCAAGAGTAATAATGCTTGTCACACTACATCATTTCATCTGACCTAATTTTGCTTTCATTTTTCTCATCAAACCCACCCGTTGTGCTAATAACCGAAAGTGCAATATATGTCATGGCTTTTCTGTTACAATATCTTTGCAACTAGGTTCAAAATCCTCCCGCAGAAAATTACTGTGGATCCTCGATTCTCATATTCACTGTTTCAAGTATGAGAATACCGACTATTATTAGATATACAGTGATCGCTCATATATAGACATGGCTCTTCTGTTCAAGAACACCACGGTTCTAGTTACAGAAGAGGAAGAACAATCTACACCTGGTAGGGTCTTTCATGCACAAATCTTTTTCCAAAGTTTTCAGAGAAAAACTAAGCCAAAAAACAAAATCTCTCAAATAAGTCAAGCGATAACCACTTTAATCGGGTTATTATGTAATTGTTCTTTTAGAATGCCTGCATAATGTCTATATCTCAGAACATTAAAAGCCGGAAGAATGATCTCGTGCATATCAGTTTCTCAAATTCTTTTAACTAACAATATCCAAACCACTGGAAAGTTTAAGAATCTCTATCTGTGTAATTCCAAACTTTCTACACGACATATGCCCCCAGGAATTAAGTTAAAACTGACCGAAATATTATTCTTATCAACTTGGGTTCATATCCGAAAAGAGGAAAAAAACGGAAAGTCTTTTTCTAAAGAAATGTGTTAAAAGGGGCAGTGTATAGAACCTTTCAACGAGATCAGTGGCTTTTTTCAACTCTCATCAAAAATGGAATCTGATTCCAAACATATATGCCCATGGTTCCTTAATACTTCCGAGTAACATTAGGGCTCACAAATAAGTCCCATTTGGAGAAATAGGAATAATTATGAAATATTTAATTGTTAAAAGATACAATTTTCTTTTAACGGAAATTGCTCTCTTCAAAAGTTACGCCCGCCTAGTATATACTAAGCCCCTCAGGGAGAATCCCTCCTAACTTACAAGGCAACTTCAATAGGTTTCACTTTTCCATCGAAATGCAATCAATCCACGAAAAATCCAACTTTAATGGGTACACACACGTTTGAGAAGGACTAACAATAATATTCTTCTCGTTATAAATAATGGGAAAATCTAGATAACAAAATAATATATAAAATGAACAAGATGATATATATTATAACACGGTTATATAGGATTCCGATAAGCAAACGAAGAATCACGCAAAAAAATAAATTTGATTGAGCAATATTACATATTGAAGCCCCAAACTGGGTACCCACCCAGGCAGGGAGCACACTTCCAACTCTTACCCACAGCATTAGAAAAAAAAAATGTGAGAGGCTTTTTGTCGTCATTTATATAATCCAGAAAAGTGTGGGGCACTGCACCCATTTCGTGTCACATAGTAACGACTCAATGCAGTAGTATGATTTCTCGAGAGGTATAAGGTGGGGATACTTTATGACAAATTCAATAAAGGATCGGCCATTTCTTCACTAGTTCACATTACGGAAATGCAAACATATAGGCAAGCATTCTCACTAAATACAGGTAAAATATAACCAGAATAAGAGAACACATTTCCAAAGCCCACATCTCAAATTGCCTTTCTCGGTCTATAAAAATTAAATGTAATTAGTCTAAACAAATCTCAGTAACTCAACAATCTTTCTGCAAGATATTTCAGCTGAGCAAGCCTAATTTCACTAATGTTCTGGGATTGTCTTTTCCTACACTATTATACATAAAACTTTCTCATCCTTAATTTTCCTAATTTCGATTATTTCTAACTGTATTATGTTCTGTAGAAATCCACCTCCATTGTGACGTTCTGTTTCCCAAAGATTTTAACATTACAGGGTGGCGGCTCCTTTTGGTGTTCCCTCCATTCGAGCTATACCATAGTAAGATTATGCAAAAACAAGAGTATAACAAGGGAGATTGTTTTAATCGTAATACCATCAATGGTCAAATCTTTGATGATTCCATCATACATGATTAAAAAAAAAAAAAAAAAAAAAAGAGAAAAGAGGAGACAAACCATGCTAGACACAACATTCTAGATCAAATAAAACAAAGTAATAATCCATTATCAAAAATCTAGTTATCAAAGTACTTTTCCATGTTCAGTAATCCTTCTAGATAACTAATAATCACCAAATTGAATGCAAACCAAGAAATAGCAGTTCTAAACCCTTAAATTTCCTAAGTAGAAAATCCTAAATTGAAAGCAACATTAAAAACCTAGAAGGGAAAATTACAAGAGAATCTAAATGCTCAAACTTAGGAGTTAAGTTGAAAATAGTGCCTACATCTGCTTTCTTCTTTACTTCATCAATCATGCTCTGTCTTTTTTATAGCAAACCCGAAATTGTCTTTTTCATATAGAATCAATAGAACAGGTCATGCCTTTCAACAGGTGGTAAATAAATTCTGGTCTTTATGCAAATCTTTCAAGTTCAAAACTCAAAACATTCAAAAAGGAAACATAGTTTTTGTTTGAGCTGATCTATCACATTACCATCTCATTCTTTACACCAAACTCTCTATCGTAATCTCTTTAGAAACAGAATTAGTACCATCTTTATTGTTCATTCATTTACCAAGCATTGATGGAATAAATATGTAGCATTCTTTATATTGCTTCAAGCCCTCTATACCGATCTATAAAGGACTCATAGTTCATTCATGAATGCAATAATCAGAAATCATTTAATGGTACAAGTTAGAAGCAAGATTATCTTCGTAAAAGAAATAGATAAAAAAAAAAAAAGATAATTACACGGTATAATTCGAGCAAAACGCAAAATATGCTGCATAATATGAAGCAAACTGTACCCCCACCAAGGCACCAACCACCACCATGACAAAAGAACTTTTGTCATTTATAACCAAGAAGTGGGCACTCCATTGTCAACAGTACACTCAACAGTATGCTATAGAACTAGCATTATGGGCCATATAATAGAATCAACTTAGCACTATCCTAAAAGTTAAAAACCAAAAAGAGAACCCATTCAAGCAATAATTGCTTCTTGTTTCAAAATTAAATTATTAGCTAAACAAAGGTTCAATTCAATTAGCTAAAGCTTATTACTACAATAATAACTTTACTATTAATTCGAATCAACATATTTAAACATTGATTTCAGATTTCAATTGCTGGTCATACATATAGCAACAAATTAAAGGAATTACTTACATCATTACTAGCTTTCTCCGCTTTATCTTTACTCAATCCAAGAAACTCCAATGCCTTCTTTCCACTATCAACACTAGTAACTGGATTTGAAAATCAATAAATAACCATTTCTAATCTCAAAACTCATGAACTGATTATTCAAAAAAAAAAATGCCAAAAAAATGCAGGAAAAAGAAAAACCTTTAAATGATGACTTATTAAGAAGCTTCTCCACAATTTTCCGGTCAAGAAAACAGTCGTCAACGGCCAAGACATGAATAGGACTGCCACTGGAATCACAAGCACTGCTCGGCTGCTTCTGCCACTGCAACGTCTCCTTCTTCTCCTCCTCCCCCATGACCGGCTCAGCCAGTAACCGGTGAGAAACCCCTAAGAAGAGATAAAAGGAGTGACACGAGTAAGTGGGAGTTATTTATATAGAGTTATATAGGAGGAGAAGTGGAAAGTGTTCGAGAGTTAAGAAGGTGGAAAGAGAGAGGGGAAGAAGAAGTGTTCGAGTTATATGCAAGACTGGGGTCGAGAGTGACGATAGGATAGACAGTGAGGGTTTGCCGAGAGAAGAGAAGAGTGGAGGGGAAAAAGCGATACTTTCATTAGATTGCGCTGTCGGGAATCTTTTGCTTTGGACCGTCACTCACCTGATCTTGACATATTCCTGTCCCCATCTTCCTCCAACATTTTATTTCTTTTTCTTTTGAAAGTAAAATTTCTTTTATTTGTTTTTATATTTTATTTTATTTTTGAATACTTTACATTTTAAATTTTTAGAAATAATAATTAGAGTGACTTTCTAATGTTCTTTTCATTATTGATTAAAATTAAATTATTTATTTTAAAATAATTTATTATTTTATTAATTTTTAAAATAATTTATTATTTTTATTTTATTAAAATATATAAAAATTAATTTTAAGTTTCTTTATTTTTAAGAAATAACTTTCTTCATGTTAGTTACCTATTATAATAAAAATAATATTACTTTACCGGTATGGTCTGATCCGTCTTCTTATAGTTCTCTTGAATACAACTTTTAAAGATATTATAGTCTTTTATCATACTTGCACCGTTGGAGTGGCCGGCACAAATTATGCCAAAAAAAAAAAATGTTTTTCGAGATACTTAAGTATTACATAGTCAACCGAAAAAAAACAATTATATCTAGTATTCTTCATAAGACATTTATTGAATTTATACAATAATTTTCACAAACTACAAATATATTCCAATGACAATATTAAAATTAAATTTCTTAACATGATCATTATTATCATCATCGTAATCATAATCAATAATGAAAAATTAAATTTTCCAATAAAAAAGACAACCAGTAAAATTAAAAATACTTGATAATATAATTATATAATATGTTTTAAAGTATAATATACTCCAATAAGAAATATTATATAATATGTTTTAAAGTATAATATACTCCAATAAGAAATGTAATATCTATTGTGTAAATAATTTAATATTTATATTCAAAATTACAAATAGAATTAAATTAATTAAATAATGCATAATTTATTTATGGGTGGCATCAGGTCTGCGAGTTTATCTAGTCAACCGGTAACCAACTCAACCCGTAAATTATAAAAATGACTTACCCAATCTAATTCATTATATCTTGAGTTGGGTCGGATTATAATAGGTGATGTGCAGCCCTAATGTTGGAAACTTGATTTTATTCGATTTTTGATAAATTGTTTAATAAACTAAAACTTTAGAATATTAAAAAAACAATAAAACTTTAGATTTCCTCTTGAAAAATAAAATAAAATTTTTGATACACATGTGGACTGATGCTCCCACAACTGGAAGAAACAAAAATCTATGGGACCGATTTAGATAAGCGGTTGGATCATTTTTGGTGTTTGAATTTCCAATCAATAATTAATCCAATGGTTGGAACAATTTTTTAAAATTTAATAATTAGCAATTTCAACACCGAAATGTTAAATATTAATATCTAAGTATTCCAACTAAAAATTTAAAAGTAAAAGTTAGAAATTTCAAAGGAAATGAGAAAATAATTTATTGAGTTATTTTATTTATTATTTGAGGAATTAAATTTCAATAAAAAAAGATTCTAACAAGTCTTTTAGATGTTGATGGAATTTAAATAATGAAATGTATACATTTTCTAGGTATTTATCAGATTCCTTCATTTGGTTTAGAAAACTGATAGGTTCTATCCCAATTCTATTATTTCACAAAAGAGAGAAATCCAACATTAGAAGTGTGATTTTCTTAATTATGTGGTTTGTATTAATAATGCAATTTAAATAATTTAATTTTTATTTCGAACATATCTTCCAAATTAATGAATTGTTTTTTTTTTTTTAATTTTTTTTTTGTTTTCAACTTAAACCCATAGATTCAATGTGATATTCAAAAACCCATGGACTTATAAATTTCACACTCAATCTATCCAAACCACCTCTAAAAATTACCCATTGATTTGAAAATTTTCTTCTTTTTTATGATTTTGTAGGATTTGAAAATATACTATTTGAAGTTTTAGACTAAAAGTAAGAAAGAGAAGTATTTCTAACATAAAATTGACTAATGGGGAACAATTTAAAAATAAAATTACAATTTTGTAAGAAAAAAAAAATACAACTTAATTGTATAAATTGGGCAAAATATATAAAAATACTTTCAACTTTTCGACTTGTTACAGAATCACTCCATTTTGACTTTTAGATATATTAACATCTAATTGTCAATTGATAAAAAAAAAAAAAAGGGCCACATTTGCTATAATGTTGCATGATTACAACAAGTCTGAGATGTTGCACTTAAAGAAAACATTGAACTGTTCAAAATATCACAAAGCACAAAGATTAAAGAACACCAATCATGCAAATAAATAAAAAAAAAAAAAAAAGAAAGAAACTCAATCAACTTGTATAACAAATAAATCCTTGGCCATCATTATCAAACCTTAATTGCAGGCTTTTGTGTAGTGTACAATTACATTCGTTCATCTAGTTCTAATTGTAATATACTATTATCAGATTACAGGTAATCTTTCTTGTCTTTCATTTTCTTTCTGTCAATTGATAGCTACTCTATTATTATTGTATTCTTTTTCATTCTTACTAAGGTATACTTATTTTGTTCTTTCCATTCTTGGCTAGATTTTTTAGTAAACTTGTCAAAAATCCGATGAGTACAATGCCAACCTACCTAGTACCAATTGTTTCCGAAATCTTTTTTCTCTACAAAGGATTATAAATTTATACACAAATGATATTGATGTTATCAAAATTTTTGGCTGTCTTCATCATATCTACGTATACCTCTCAATATCAAGTTGAATGTATCATTTCAGCTCTACAAATTTTTTCCTTGCAGAATTAAAAGGTAAGCATTGATAGTGAGAAGGAATTTAACTAGCTTAGTAGAAACCTTGCAGTCTGTGACCTATGTTCCCATTTCAGACATCAAATTATGATGATTCGAACTATTCTACATTCCAAGATAAGTTCAGTTTGACAAATGTAAGTTTCTATAGTCTTGATGTAGAGAACATAAATACAAAGGGTTCTTTTTATGGAGTTGAAGAACGGGGAGAGTCTGCAGGAGTTGATACTATTTCTTCTGTTAATGGACTCTATCAAGATAATATATGGAAACAAGAATTACCCATCCCCAAGTATGAGCAGCAAGAACAGAAGCAACAGTCATTTTCAGATTATGAGCAGTTTGATGATTTGAGATTTCCAATCCTGTCTTCCCAACTTCAGACATGTAATGGAATTGAAGAAGTTGGACCTGAGAAGGAAAAAGCTTGTCCATTTTCTTCACTTCAGCTGCTAAAAAGTCATAGTAATGGGTTCAAACAATTTAGTAGTGGAAGAGTAATCGAGCCAAGCAATTATACTCATTATTCATCCAACAAGGCAGTAGATGAAGGACTGTCCACTGAACAGATCATGCGAATAGCTGGATCAAGGTTTATCCAATCCGCTGGACAGGAAGTTGATGTTGGTTTCTCATTCAACCATCCTTTTGATTCTTTCTCCGGCCTTTCTGATGAGGATACAAAAATGGTTGAACTTGCAATATCCCTTTTGGCTTCAGCAGAAAACATTGGCAATCAACAATTTGATCGCGCAGGCAGATTGCTCAAACAATGTGATTTATTTGCTTCTAATATTGGAAATCCAGTACAGAGAGTAGTTTACTATTTTGTTGAAGCTCTTCGAGAGCGAATTGATAAAGAAACAGGAAAAACCACATTAAAAGGCTTAGGGAAGAAACAATCATTTGATATTGATGAAGCAATGATGACTCCAAATCTCGCAGTTATGGCAAGTCATCAGTTAATGCCTTTTGGTCAGATTGCTCAATTTGCAGGAATTCAAGCAATTGAGGAAAATGTTGGTAATGCAAAAAGAATCCACATAATTGATCTTGCAATTAGAAATGGAATTCAATGGACAGTTTTAATGCAAGCTTTGGTTTCTCGAGGCGAATGTCCTCTCCAACTTCTCAAGATAACTGCCATTGCAACTACTTCAGCATACTTCATCAAGAAAACAGGTAAAATGTTAACAAGTTTTGCAGAAACCATGAACTTACCTTTTTCTTTTAATATAGTCGAGGTTTCAGACTTTTCAGCCATTAAAGAAAACTTGTTAGAGGTGGATAAAGAGGAAACTATAGCTGTCTATGCTGAATTTATGCCAAGAAGCCTAATTGCATTGCCAAATAGGCTAGATTCAGTCATGAAAATGATCAGAAATGTCAATCCTTGTGTAATGGTATTTGCTGAGGTTGAAGCTAATCATAACTCACCAACTTTTGTGAATCGTTTTATCGAAGCCCTTTTCTTCTATAGTGCATATTTTGATTGCCTTGATGCATGTTTCGAAAGGGATGATCAAAATAGGATGATTATGGAATCAATGTATTTTGGTAAAGGAATAAGGAATACTATAGCAGCTGAAGGTGAAGAAAGAATTATTCGAAACGTAAAGCTCGAGGTTTGGAGGATGTTCTTTGCTCGTTTTGGCATGGAGGAGACTGAATTGAGTTCATCATCTTTGTTCCAAGCAGAACTAGTAATTAAGAAATTTTCATTTGGGGATTCTTGCATGCTTGATAAAGATGGGAAAAGTTTAGTTTTTGGATGGAAGGGTACACCCCTTCATTCTCTTTCTGCTTGGAAGTTCAGATGAATAGAAAGGACTTCAAGAGTTTGTATTTTTTGAATTCTTCTCAAGTTACCTTCTTATATCAGGTTTTGATCGATTGAAAAAAAAAACAACTTTGGTTTGTTATTATGGTGTACTAATTGTTGTTATTATTACATGTAGAGTTTTGAATATGCATTTTTTGATGATGTATGGGGCATATTAATACTTACATATTAGTGTGATAACCTTGATAATAGTTATATGTGGCGAAAGAACTTGAAATATATAGTTTATTGTGGAGCTTCAAACACTGCATCCACTAGATGACGTGTGGAGCACAGCCAATTGAGTTGATAGGGATAAACATTAGATTAGTAAATAATTTTAATTAGGAATTAGGTTGGAAAATAGTTTTATAAAGAACATTAATTTTGTCAAAAGATCTTCTATCTCCGAAAATTAGAGTGAATTTAGAACAAGGCAGAATGTACAAAGAATTTATTTAGCCGACCTCAGCTGATTTGAGATTAAAGCTCATATATTATTGTTATAGAGCATACTAATTTTTAATAAAAAAAAAAATTCAAATTTTGCAATTAGATATGTCACAAAAAGCTTTTAAAAATGAAAGATGGTGAATATCAAACAAATGGAAAGAATGAAAGCATTACTAGAAATGTCGATTTTAATATATTATTACTATAGAAAAAAGGTTAAGCTTTAGTATGACTTTGCTCTTCATATGCACAAATCCCAGCCAGAAACCTTACAAGCTTGTATGGTTCTCCAGCAAACTCTCACCACCTAACCATCCCCTTTTTTCCCTTTTTCCCCTGTGGATAAATAGATATTTAAAGGAGTAGGTTTTGACAACATTATAATGATAATATTAACATAATAATACTGCAGCTCAACAGTAACAAGAGCCAGGAAGAGCTCATCAAACAAAATTTCCCGGACTTCTCTGTTCTTTGAACACTAAAAGCATTATAAACACTCAGCAATATATCTACCAATATTCTCGCAAAAGCTAAAAATCCAAAAATCAAGCATATGAAGAACACCGCTATACCCTTATTTTCCATTGATTTTTGTTTGTCTTGAACCCCTTCAACCATTGACCTGCAATAAAGTTGCAATTATTAGTATGAGAATTATACAAGACTAAGAAAAACTTGAACAATTAAGGATTGAGATTGTGCCCTACAAAAAAAAAAAAAAAAAAAAAAAAAAAAAAAAAAAAAAAATTAAGGATAGAGATTTTGCCCTACAAAAAAAAAAAAAAAAAAAAAAAAAAAATAAAACAACAAATGGAGACAATCAGAGGAAAAAGATTTGTCTCAAAAGATGAAGACCATAACTTAAAAGGGATAAACAAGGCCTAATGCACCTTCAAGAATAAAAAAAAAAAAAAAAAAAAAAAAAAAAAAAAAAACAAACAAATGGAGACACTCAGAGGGAAAAAGATTTGTGCTCAAAAGATGAAGCCATAACTTAAAAGGGGGATAAACAAGGCTAATGACTTCAAGAAGCAACTAATTAATCCCCTAGTATATTCCATCAGCAACCAATCCACCTGGTACAGGCCAAAAATTTATATAATTTTCTATTAAATGTATTGCCTACATCTAAGCATGGTCCACCTTGACATTGGTCCACCACTAGGCACATGTGATGGCCGAGCAAAATAATGAGATCGAACTGGAAAATCTACAAAAGAGGCATTTTGCATGGCATAAATCAACTAACATCTGTAGAACCGTTAGTTTTATTAAGTAAATGTATTGTATGGAGTCAAATCTGATCCATGCAGACAACCATATGTACAGGCATTTGCTCCTTTCTCAGCAACTATGTAGATTAGACCAACAATTCCATACCACAATCAATGGACCATTAATCACTGTTTTCTAAACAGGCCCCCTAAAGATCCCACTAAGTTATAAGTCATACTCTAACTTACATGTGCCAACCTTTAAGTGGAATTATCAAAAAGCAAACAAGATCTTATACCAAAAACAGTTCGGAGAAGTTTAAAATTGAGAAATGGAAGCAACCTGAGAGCACGATTATCCTCGAGGATATTATCCATTTGTGTAGAAACCAGGGATTTCCAAGAAGAAAGATTATCGACATCTTTAGCCTGCAAAGGGCAATACAGAATCGAAATTTTGAGTTGAGAAACACCAACTAGAATCAAATAAACTAGCAAAAGCTAACAAGGTGAGAAATTTACATACTATGGCCTCTTGGCTGTCAAGGAGATTCTTTATGTCAGATCTAATCTTCTCTAAAAGTGCATCTTTTTCTCCTAAATCTTTGTCAAATTCTTTAAAAATATTTCCATATCTGTGATTCACCTCCTCCAAGTATCGTTCCAAAACAGACAAACTTAAGTCCAGAGAACGAACTTTCTTCATCAGTATTTTAAGAACAGTATCCCCAGGCATTCTGCCTCCTTGTTGATGACGAATTTCTTCCACTGGATCTGGCACATCATGCCTCAGATTTGAGTTTTCAAGCGAAGAGACAGATTCAGTTCCTAAGCACAGTTCTTGATCACAATCAACAACTTGAGGAGACTCTGTTTTGGAGGGTAATTGTTTCTGCTCACTGGTTCCCTCTTCTGACACAAGAACTTCCTTTTCTCCAGAGATCAAATCTTCCAGCATTCGATCAACAGCATCAATTCCATAAACTTCAACAACACTTAGAGTACAATAAAACTCTGAACCATAATGGCTGAGAAGATTCAGCTTCAGATATCTCACCCACTGTGGCTCTTGAAGAGTAAACCTTTGAGCAAGCTTAACATTGGCAGCTGTGAAATTCCCAAGCCTGAACCATGCATCTGTTGGATAAACCATGCTGCCAAGCAACTCAAAATCTTTTAAATTAGAAGAATAATGCTCAAAATTTGCAACTTCGATTGTATCTACTAAGGTTTCTTCTGAAAGTTCTATTATAACAAATTTCTCTTCAGCAGAGCATGGATTTCGAAGGTACTTATCCTTGTCTCTGCCTAAGATGTTGGAAGCTCCCTTTGCTTCCTTGTTAAAAGCTAATACCTTTGCTCCCTTTGATGCTGAAGCATAATTGCATTCTTTACCCCCAGGCTCTACTCGATGAACCACACCTCCAGCTTGACCATTTCCTGATTTACTTTTAAAGCTGAATGATCTGCTTTTGAATTCATCGAGGCTAAGGGGTACAGAATGAGATAGTCTGTCAGTCTTTGGAATGTTATTTTCAAATTTCACATCCGAACCAGGGCTTGCCTCAGGTTGCTCGGAAACAAAGGCATGATTGATGTTTGAACCGTTATTTCCAAATTTTGCATCTGAACCAGGGTTCGCCTCAGGTTGCTCAGAAACAAAGGGATGATTAATGTTTCCTTCTCTCCCAAGTACCTCATAATCATAGACGCCAGTTTCAGCACTCACTGTACAAAAATTTTCATCTGAATAGACAGAACCAATTTCTTTTAACAGATTCTTGTCCAAAGACTTGGAAAGTTCACAATGTTGCAAATTCTTTTCACTCGAAGTTGATATGCCAACTGGAACTGCTACAGGTTCATCTAGACCAAACAAACATAAAAGACACTGATTAGAAGTTAGGGATACACCGGAGTTAAACATGAGTCCTGCCAAACATAAGATGGTTCAGAAATATAAAAATAATACCACTACTGCCCTAAGGAAAACCAACTTAGATTCAGAAGTCATGTTCAAATATACATATTATAATTTCAGAATTTCCACTGAGAATTGCACTCTCTATAAAAATATTTAGCACTAGCAGGAATGTGCCGTCTTTATAAAATTCAAGAAAAGAAACTAAGATATGAAATCTTTGTAAGAAAGCATACTTGCAATCAGAAAAGGGAAGGGGGAAAAGACTAAGGTAACAAACACCATAACATAATGTGTTATATTTCTGAGTCATGATTGGTACTAAATGTATGATAAGTAAAAGCCTTCTCCTAACAAAGGTCCTTTAACATGAAAATCATTTTGACAGAAACAAGTAGATACTAAAAACTTACCGCTGTAACCATCACCACGACTGATCCATGAGCTGAAGAGAAAGAAAAGCCCCCACAAAACAAAGAACAAGGAAATTGAAACCTTGCACATATAAGTTCTACCACTAATAGCCTTCCCAAAAGCTCTTCTTTGTAGAAGAGCTCTACGTGATCTTTGCATTGCACATGAATCCAATACAAAGCTGACAGTTGATTAATTATAAAAACACTGGAGCACCCTACAACAAAGAAACACAAGAACCCGCATAAATTTCCATGATTCCAACATATAAACTACAATTTCAAAAGCACTGATCCAATATAAATATAATAAGCTCTAATGGGTATTCTTCAATTAAAGAAAAAGTAAATTTAGCTTATAGATTCAGCTATATCACACATCAAATTTAACAAACTGTCACTATGCATTCTTCAACAACAAAAAGAAAAACTTGATAGGCGGAAAAAGGCAAGAGGTACGCTGTAAGTAACCAGCAAAAAACAATCTCCAATGAAATCAAATAGCAAAAAACTATATCTTCAAAAATTAGGAAAATAAATCTAATCTTTAAAAAACATCCACACATCATCCAGCTCACTATAATGGGGTGTCTAGATAGTGGAAATTAAATTCACCTTAACAGCAAAGCAAAATACCAATTGGACCAAAAGAAAACACTGCTTCACCAAATTCGATTCTGAAATGACCCAAACTACAGTAAACTGAAAACCCAGATTACAATAACCAATCTATACGCATACCCCTTGTTGTTGCAATCAAAAATTTCAAAATCCGAAATTGCCACCAATCAATGAGAGAAGCTAAAAACAAGGAGGAAATCTATCAAAGAAAAAAAACATAAATAGACTAGATCCAATTGAAAAGCAATAACTAGTTTAGAGAGAATCAATGGATCACCTAGATTTGAATTTTTAAATAAAGAGGGAGAAAAAATCAAGAAAATTTCAAGATATTCAACCGGCCAATCCAAAGGAAATGATGGCATTAGAAGAGGAATTGAGATTTTGAATTGAAGAAGGTGAAGTAACATGAAAACGGCGTAGTTTTAGGCGACCGTCCACGTTGTCTTGTCGTCGCTTTATTGGTCTCGTAGCCGTTTTTATATTCATACTGTCTCTCTCTTTTGCTAACGGTTATCTTTCTTTATTCCAACTTTGCTTTCTCCGACACTGTTTATATGCGTCTGAATTTGATTTGAGCTATTTCGCCGTTTCGCCGTTCCGCGTTTCGAATTAGACAGTTTTTTTAAGCCATTTACAGATCGTTTGCACGAATGTTATTTAACAGGTTTGAAGAGTAAAGTAAAGTGAAGGGGTTATTTAGTGGGTTGTAAAGAGAGTTTGAGGGGAAATATGATTTTTTTTTTTTTTAAGTTGTTTGAAGGGTTGACAAACCGCATAAATATCCTAATCTTCAACACTTCGAATTGAGGTGTAATCATAGTTAAAAAATTTAATTTTCAAAATTATTTATAATTATGTTTATAAATCTTTCGTGATAAAAGTATTTTCATAATATTTATAATAAAATCTTTATTAGATTTATTTGTTTCTGAATTTATTATTTAATATAAAATTCAAATTTTATTAAATGCAAAAAAGATTAATTATAATGACAAAAATAAAATATCACATCATCACTTTTATATTTTAAGATGTTGCCACGTAAATATTTATGCTTTAGAAATTATATATTTAGATAGATAGATGACCAACTCTAATAATAATTAACATGAAGATTATAACTTTTTTTTTTTGTTATAAAAAATTCAATTTAAATAGAATTAAATTAGTTTAGACTGAATGACGATTTTCAAAAAGAATCAAATTGAATTGAAATTATGTAAAAAAGAGAACCAAATCAATCAATTTAACCAAAATTCATTTCATATTTTCTATAGAAGCTAAAATCAAGGTTAGTAGTTTAAAAGTTGAACCGAATCAAATTGAACGGATCAATTCATTTTAATTTGGTTTAATCAAATTGTGCCTAGTCGTGTTTTTAATTTCTTCACCTAAAAAAAGAACAGAATTTTTATACATAGATCTAAATTTACAAATTATCCCTCAATGAGATTTAAATTTGAGCTTCCTCCTTGTAAAAATGTTTAAAAAAAATTTTGGCTAGATATTTTTGCTGAGGATAAATCATTTTGCATTTTGAATTTGTAGAATGAAGAATGAAATTTCATAAAAGGTAAAAGAAGTTTGTGATTTGTTTCCAACGGTTAGAAAATTACAATATTATTCATTGCCCTTCAAAATAAAATAAAAAATTCATTCTAAATAATAAATTAAAGTTATTTTTTTAATTTAATGATTTTTTTTTTTTCAATTTGGATTTAAATAAATCCAAAAATAGTAATTTAAAATTTGAACTGTATTATTTAAAATCCAACTCAACCATTTCAATTTCGGAATATAAATTTAGAAATTTACATATTTTTTCCATGCAGCCAACCAATTTAATTATTTTTCAGTTATGGGCATTTTAAAATTATTCAAAATACTTTGAATTGGGACATAGATGTTAATTGCAGGAATGGAGTGAGCGTTGTGGATGCCAACTAAGCATTTAGGGAAATTTTTTTAAAAAAAAAAAATCCTCATTATTTTTAAAATGCTTTTTACCTCCAATCGAATTTTATAACTTGTTATTTAGATTTTAATTATTAGAACTCAATTATAAATTTAGAATATACTCTTAGAGAGGAAATTCTCACTTCAAATTTACCTTTAATCAATTGCATTTAATTATAGGTCTAAATTTAAATTCACCGACTAAATAAATAATTTCATTTTTTTTGCAAAATATAATTAATTTTTCATTAATAAAATTTTATGTTTCACATTTTGAAAAGATAAAAATTAAAAACTCAAAATAAAAGTATATAAATAAATGGTTGCAATAATAGAATGTATAAAGAATGAAAAGTTCTCTATATATTTTCAGAGGGCAAAAGCGTAAATTGATATTCGAATTTATAAGAAAAGTTTAATACTATGTTGAAGTTTTATGTTGATGATACTTATTAAATACTTGAATATATAGAATTAAACATATGGAACATTTTTAATTATAAAATTATATGTATTGGATAATTTATAAGATAGTAAAAAATGCAAAACTGTTATTAATAATTTATGATGAAAAATGCATAGATAATTTAAAATGTGTAAATTTATATTTAATAGATTTAATTTATGAGTTGAATCGTAGAAACCTCTAATAGGTCAAATTAAAAGTTAAATGCTATAATATTTTTTTGAATTTAAGTAATAATTTGTATAGTAAGTCAATTTTAATATGGAAAATATTTTTGGCACAACTCTTTATTAGAGATGACAATTTTATTGAATCTGAAATTAGTGGGTTCAGGTAGTGAATAAACGGTTTGGGACGGGTTCATATAGTATTTTTACTACTGGTATTAAGTTCGAATCGGGTTCGGATTCAAGTACTCATATACCCATTACCTGTTACTCATTCAATAAATATTCAAAAGATATTTAAAATAATTATTCTTTTAAAAGAAAAATTACATATATACTCCTTTTTTATTATAATTAATACTATAATTATATTTAACATTTATATTATATTTTTAGTAAGCCAAAATAATAAATGTATAATTTTTACGTACTTTTAACTTTTAAAAAATAAAAATAAAAATATTTTTAATAGTAAACGAGTATTTAAATGTATTCAGGTACTTAAACATGTAAGTATAATTGGCTCTGTGACGGGTTCGGTCATTAGCGATAAATTTTTGAACGGGCTTGAGTATCTAATTTATAATAGGATTCAGATTCGGATGGTGCATTTTACCTGAGTACCCGACCTATTACTATCTCTACTCTCTATAGGTATTGGGATGAAAAGAGTGTAATTCCCTTCAAAAACTTTTAAGCACTCTTACAACCCATTTGGAATAAATAAATCATGGTTGTAGAATTTATTTGTAAATGAATTCCAAGTAGAATTCATTTGTAAAAGAATTTGTCATGTTTGATACGTTACAATTTAAAATAATGAATTCAATTGAATTCCATAAAATTATATTTGGAATAAATTCTTATATGAAAATTTATTTATTTTTATTTTTTATAACACCTTTGACATAATAATTTAATAAAAATAAATAACAAACACCAATTATATTTATTATGTAAAATATAATAACTTGTCATTTTTTTATTAAAATAAGTATATTATCTTGTCATTTTTTTATTAAATATATTATAATAATAATAATTTTCATATAAATAATTACTAAATAATAAATTTCATATAAATAATTACACTAATATTCCACATCAATTAATTAATTGTATAAGCAGTAATATTCATCATAATAATTATTTTTAATTGATGTAAAAAATTTTGTTGATTTAAGTAATTAATTTAGAAATTAAAAAAAAATTAAGAATGTTAGTATTGTTTTTAATTGCATTTGAAAACAATTGTTGATGCTCAGTTTTTATAGTTTCATAGTAATAATAACTATTATTATTACTAGATTTCAAAAAAAAAAATAACATTACTGGTTTGAAATTTTTCAAAAAATAAAAATAAAAAGGAAACAAATATAAATAGTCAGTATTGGATTGAAAAAAAAAACATTGTTATAGTTTGGAATTTTTCAAAGAAAATAAATAAAACGGAAAAAAAAAAGTAAAAATAGTTGAGTTTTATAGTAGAGGATAATTTTTCAATAAATATTTCAATAGTCAATTTTGTAAAATTTATTTACAAATTTCATCAGTAGAATTTGAGTTAGGTATACTCAATTCCATAGAATTCAATTCGTAGAATTTAAATCTGTATTTTTTTCATTCCAAAATAATATTTTAGATTTTCAAATGAATTCCATAAAATTTTATAGAATTCATTTGTTCCAAACGGACTATTAATGTTGTTGATGTCATTGTTAAAATTTAAATGCACTTTTACTGTTAGTGATATCATAGAGCAGTTTTAAAATTTGAACTGATTGATAGGAAATTAATGGACTACTGTTGGCCACTATGCAAAGTAGTCGAAAAATTGAATCATCCCATAAACTTGCCACTATATATCAAAACGATCAGAATTTCATTAGATCCTTCGTTGTACTAATAATTTGTAGAAATTTTATCAATTTCAACAAATCCAATTTTGATAAATTCAGTCCCAAATTTCAATTCATAAAATCTGTCTACCAAAATCCTTAAGTTAATACAAAATCAAATTTATTTTATAGAAAACTATGAATTCAAACTTACCTCAACAATAATTACAGAATAACAAAATCCTATTGGAAAATTCAAACAATAAAACTTGAATTTCTTAAGCCGCAAAACTAGGAACTCGATCGATCATACAATGATCAGTAATAGGTTTGCCATAACCAGAGGAGTGTTTTGCCACCTTATTCTCGTTAAAGGAAGATCAGAGTTCAATCAGAGAAGGAGAGGCAATAAGTCTCTATCATACGTCGCAAAAGAAGGGGGAAAGGAAAAAGAGGAAGTAGAAAAAGTGATTTTCTCTCTCCTCTCAAATTAAATTTGGATTGGCTCGATTAGAATTCGGTTTGATTTGAATTATAAAAGCTTTTTATTTATTTATTTACTAGCAGTTTAACTTGTACTGTTATAATTAAATTAGATTAAGAAACACATGCATTAATTAATTTTACATACTTTCCCTTAGTCTCTAAAACACTTTCTAATATAAAAATTAGGTATAATTCTAAGAATTGAAATTCAATACCTTAATTATCATATGTAATTAATAGATGTCAAAATATTTGAATAGTATTCATTTATGACTCTCACTTCTATTATACAAAATTGCTGAAAATTAACAAAAGCCAAAAGACTCTAAATTTTTAACCAGAGCCTTTTATTCTTTTCCCCCTTTATTTTCTATTGTTCCTCTTCTTAATTATGATTACCATACATTGAAATATAATTACAGCCTATTAAATTTTAGCTATAATAATAATAATAATAAATAATATATAATAATAATAATAATAATAATAATAATAATAAATAATAATTAATTTACCAATGAAAGGGGAAAAAAAGAAATAATAATAATAATAATAATAATTTACAAAATGAAGGGGAAAAAAGAATAAAGGGTCTGAATAAAAATTTAGAATATTTTTACATTTGTTAATTTTTATTAATAATTTTGTATGATAGAAGTTGAGGGCATCAAAAAATGGAATCGTTCAATTCAATAATTTG